GCCCTGTGGGTGAAGTTGTATTGAGAAGCCAGGGGTCTGGAATCATTACTTCCCATTTGGCAAATTTCTGCTATATTTTATTTTTATGCCCAAGGCCATGCAGGAATGTCTCAAATTCATCTCATTGGCACACTAACTGAAGCCCTATTGAAGAAATGTAAGAAATGTCCCAGGAAATGGCTTGGGAACATTTCACTACTTCACTACTTGAAATATTTCACAAATGCACTCCTCCAGATATTTTAACATTTCAGAATCAATGAAACATACGTTTCAACTTTGAAATATTAGGGAAATACTAACTTTTATCATATTCCATAGTAGAATGTTTGTTTTGTGATTGGTGAACCCTTAAGTGAACCCCAAATGACATTGCAGTTTACCAATATTATATGATTCTGGTAGGTATTCCCACTCAACAGTGCTGTAAATAGATTGATATAGTAAGGTGATGGAAACATGAAATTCTACTGTATCTAAAGATTTAATGTATAAAAAATTCATTATTCTCTACAAGTGATAGTTAAAATTTTTTCTCTAATAAATAAAGGTATACAATCTACATGAATCACACACTCCCACCCTGTATAAGTATCTTATCCCTAGCCTTTGCAAAACAATCACTGAATGAAAAAGTTGTTGACTGCAAAACCACTGAAAGGCACCACCATATGTCAAGTGAGGCTCAATCAGAGAATGATTTCCCCCCTTTTGGTTGTGGATGAACTCAGTTCATTTGAAACAATTTGGAGTGCATAACATTCTGATGCCAATTTTTTGTTGAAGCTGGTCAAATTTCAATTTATTATCAATAAAAATTCCCAGGAATTTGGATTGGCTTTTATTATAGAGTTGAAGGTGAGTAAGTTTGTTTTTTTGATGGTAATGCTCAAGTACTTTGCATCACAGCATTTTTTCACAACATCCAAATCTCCAGATATAGTATCTTTCATAAGATCAGTATTTTTTCAATTCCATAGGAGCGTTGTGTCATCCGCAAAGATCGTAAAAATTCCTTGAATTGACAGAGTAACTAGGTCGTTAGATAAATAAGGAAAAAAATCGGGCCCAGAACTGATCCTTGTGGAACACTCCTTACGATTTCCTTAGTGTGTGATCGTTTTTCATTTGATTTCACTACTTGTTTTTTATCACTTCTGTAAGACCTAAACCAATCATTACACACTCTAAAGCCATAGCAGTCCATTTTTTACAAAAAAAAATCATGATTTACACAAACAAAAGCTTTGGAGGAGTTGCAGAATACTGCAGCTGCGTTTGTAGACATGTTCAAGAAGAGAAAAGGTTGCATAGTTTGTGCCATTTGTATTCTGAAAGCCAAATTGACAGTTGGTTAAAATTTTATGTGGATAAAGAAAAGCTAATATTCTCTTTTCAACCAGTTTCTCTATGATTTTCAAGGGTGTTGAGAGCAGGGAGATTGGTCTAAAGTTACTGGGATCTTCAGAATCATCACCTTTGGATAGATGAATTACAAGAGCTGTTTTTAGGCATGGATGAAATTTTCCAAGAGCAAAAGATTTATTTATAGCCATAACTAGTGTAATCAATGCGGAATCGGGAAGGTTATTTAAAATTTTAACAGAAATTTCGTCAATGCCTATGAATTCTTGTTTTTAATTTCATGTAAGATATCTTTCAGCTCCGATAAATTTGTATCTTCAATATGAAAATTGTTGGGTATATTTGCATTTTCTTTACATTCACATAACTATCGACAGTGCAGCATCCTTGGTGCAAAGTATGCATCTAACATACATTAATGTTCGGCCATTGTCATTCCAAATGACATCCTAGTCAGGTAGTTAGTAGGCAAGGACTATAATTCCTCCTCGCAGTCCTCATACTAGGTCTCATACTACGTTTTCATTTAGGTCGACAATGATTCGGCATTGATTTTATATTATTTCTAAATAAAATGGAATTATAAAAAATATATGCTGAATGAATCAATTGGATATTGACCTTCATAGTCTTGAAATCCAATTTGCGTTAACAATATCATTTGTTTACGTTCGGCAATGCTGTTTCATGATAATTAGTAATAGTATAATAGTGATTATTATATAAACCCCAAACAAAATGATTGGACCTTCTTTATGTAACTAACGAAGAAAAAATACGTTCGTCGTTTATTCTGTTGTTTTGAACATTTGTTATGACGACGAATTGATTTTTTCTTCGCCATTTACATAAAACAGGTCCAATCATTTTATTCGGCAATTACAAAATGACATCTATTATACTATTAACTTCCATAAAACAACATCGCAACGTGAAAAAATGATCGAGGGGTAAATCACGGGCCAATTTCGGATACACTATTTCCTTTGTCGACAGAATTCCCAGAATTCCTGTGACTACCCAAGGAATTCCTGGGGCTACCCAAAGAATTCCCGGACTTCCTAAAGAGTACCCGAAATTCCCAAAGACTCCCTGGAGTACCCACGGAATTCCCGGATTTCCCATGAATACCCAGGATTCCCAAAGAATTCCCAGGCTTCCCAAAGACTTACCGGACTTCCTAAAGAATACCCGGAATCCCCTAAGACTACCTGGACTACCCAAGGAATTCCCGGACTTTCCAAGGAAATCTCGGACTCCCCAAGGAATTCCCGGACTTCCCAAGGAATTTCCGGACCTCCCAAGGAATTCCCGGACTTCCTAAAGAATTCCCGGACTTCCCAAGGAATTCCCAGACTCTCCAAGGAATTCCCAGACTTCCCAAGAAATTCGCGGACTTCTCAAGGAATTCCCGGACTTCCCAAGGAATTCCCGGACTTCCCGAGGAATTCCCGTCTCGGGTACATTGGACTTCTCACTATTTTTACCCCTCGCAAATGATATAGTTAACGAAAATTGGATTTTAAGACTGCGACGGCCAATATTTTTCAGACTTTCATTTCTTTCAATAAATAATATAAAATCAATGCCGAACATTGATGTATGATGAACGCATACTCTACACCCTAAAGACAAAAGTACCGGAGGGTGCTTGGTCCCCGATCCAACCAAAATGTTGCGATCATATTATCATCTCCAATTTTTGTGAATTATTAGTTGAATTATCAAAATGGCGAACATTAGCAAATTATATATTTTTTTATTAAAAATTGTTGACAACAATATACAGCGCCACTGCGCATCGCAGAGTTACAAACAAATCGCGATTTTTTCGAAAAAATCATAACCGTTTTTTTCGATTAAATCATGATTTTTTTTATTTATTCAGATTTTTATGATCTATACTTGTTTTTTCTTTCGGAACAAGAAAATTCGTTCATCTTTATAATGTTTGATGGAGAAATTCTCAAAACTTCAAAAGCTTTAAATTGGTTGAAATCCCAACAGAATGTCGATGCTATTCAAAAAGTACTGCCCACCATCAAACAACTGTTATCTGCTACAGCTTCTTCACCACCTGTCAAAAGAGTGTTTTCGACATTTGGTTTGGTACATTCCAAACTTCGAAATCGCTTGGGAACCGAAAAACCCGCTAAATTAGTTTTCCTATATAGTATTACAACTGACTTCCTAAACACTTAGTATTTAATAAACGTCCTTTTATTGAATTTCCTGATGAGTTATTTACTTTGGAAACTTGTTTTCACAGCAATTTATAATTTGATTCAAATCACGATTAAAATTGAAAAAAGCAGTTGATTTAAATCATGATTTAAATAATCATTTGATTTGAATCGTCGCAACCCTTTCGCGTCGTATCCACCCTACACGTTCGGTAATGCCTGCCGCATTTTTTTTTCAAAAACAGTAACTTGCAACACGCCGAACAGTAAGTAATGATTCGAGACCCAGATTTTTTCAATAAAACTTCAGCCACAGGGCCCCACTCTTTGGCCCACGATTTTTATTCGGCGTGCTCATATCCATATAGTGGGAGGTGGAATTTGTGGGATTCTTATACTGCTGAGTATGAACAAATGAGACACGAAAAACACGCAGTGGGCTCCCGGTCTATAAATCCTTGATATATTATGCATCTATTCGTTTCACAATGAAATATCGTTTTTTATGGACTCACAGACTGATATTTAAATCAGAGAAACTTCAACCAGTGAACCTATTAATAATGAAATGAATATTAAATCTGTATTTCCGCGATAATCCTAGAAAAATCTATAACTTTTCTGGAAGTTTCTTTTTTATATGTTGAAAAGTGATATTTAAATTTCAAAATGATTTTTTGTGATTTTTACTGAACCAAGAAAGTTTCCAAATTGAATAATGGGGTAACACATAATATGAAAGAGGGTGGATAGCAATAATAGAACAGTAAATCACACATACATCATACATGTACTGACATATTCCAAAATCCCATGCTCGCCGTTTCTCACACTACATTCTTCTAACACTGAGATTCAAAGTACAGGGTACAGGATACCCAGAGTTGGATCAGTTGAATTCAAGAGGATGCCATATAATCACTGGTTGACAGTTCTCATAAATAAATTTGATTTATCTGCTCACTGAATCGAAAGTTGGCGTTTGCTCCCTCATTCCAGCTAACAGAGTTGTCAATTTACTCCCACGGTAGGAAAAAAATATCAACTCCCGTGGGAAGTAAAATAAATTGGCTTCAGCATGCATCCTTTGGCGTCGATATACCTATGAAATCTGTGCAATCCAAGTAATCAGTATCTATCACTACTATGAAACAAATAACAATAATATCCCTTTTGAATCCCAATGATATCATACGATTCCTCATATTCCGAACGTATTTCGGGTCAAAACTTTCAAATGGAGTTACACAATAAACAAATCAATTAATTCATGATGACAGAAGTGTCTAATTGACTTTCGTTCAAATACCGTCAATTGTCCATGGCATACTATACCTTTGTAATGCATAATGATTTGGATCGAGAGATAGACCGCCTGAAGCACAATTTCCGGGAGGAAATGGATACCTTTCCTCCCTTGATATCTAAATAACAATTTTTTTATGTTGACAGAATATGAATGATGGAACGTCAGTTGGTCCAGATGGACCAAAGTCTATAAATAGAGAGCAAATTGTCAAGGAAGGATGGCTTCAAAAACGAGGTGAACATTGGAAAAATTGGAGATCAAGGCAAGTAGAACATAAACCATGTTATACTGGATGTTATTTGTCTCTTTGAGAAAATCTCCAAAATGACCTTCTTATGTTTCTCCATCCTTGTTCTCAGGTATTTTGTACTTATGGATGATGGTGCACTGATTGGATTCAAGAACAAACCTGATGACTTTTTCAATGTGGAACCTCTGAACAATTTTACTGTCAGAGGCTGTCAAATTATGTCAAATGATCGGCCTAAACCATTCACGTTTATAATAAGAGGATTGCAATGGGCCTCTGTCATTGAAAGGATGTTCTGTGTTGAAACAGAACAAGACAGGTATGAAAGTAACACCCTGTAATGGATCATTGATGTTATTCATTGCAAAATCATTTTGTATGAAGTGTATCACATGACGTTTGGGACATCTTCTCAATGCACCAATAATTGGAGATATTCTCTTTGTCAAAACATCAATATGTTTGTCCCACTTCAACCTGTTATCAAACCAAATACCAAGATATTTTATCTGGGCAGTTTGTTGTAGGAGTTCATTTTTTATTTTAAGATTGAGGTAATTTTTTTGTTTATTTCTTGGGTGAAAATTCATATATTTTGTTTTATTAGTATTTATCGATAAAAGGTTAGAGTGGAGCCATTTTTCAAATATTTTCAAATCTTCATTTATCATATTTTTTAAACTTGAAGGATTCTTGCTTTCATGTGAAAGTACTAAATGATCAGCATACATGGTATATTTACTCCCTAGTCCAATTTCACTGATATTTTGAACATAAAGTAAATATAGTACTGTGCCATGGGTGTGCCTCAGGGAACTGTCATGGGTCTCATACTATTTTTACTGTATGTCAATAATATTTTCAACATTGACAACTTTGAAGGGAATTTAACGTCTTACGCTGATGATACGGCTGTAGCATTCGTAGGTGAAACATAGAACGAAGTATATGAGAAAGCAGGAATTGGCATGAAACAAATTTACTCCTGGCTAAGCACTAACCTACTGAGTCTCAATTTAGACAAAACAAAATTCATAACTTTCTCTTCTACAAAAAAAGATCAACCAAAAAAAAACAACACTTCCGATCCACAAATCAACATGCCTAGAAAGTGAAAATTGCTCTTGCTCTGAAATACATAAAATAGAATCAACTAAGTACTTAGGTATTATGGTTGATCAATCACTACGATGGAATGATCATGTAGAATTTACTGTGAAAAGACTTCGAAAGTTGATCTATAAATTTTATCAACTCCGAAATATTCTCAGAAGAGACGTCATGTTGCTGTTTTATGGAGCCTTGGCTGAGTCAGTCATACGTTATTGTATCATCGTCTGGGGCGGATTATTCAAAACATCCTTACATAATTTAGATATAATCCAAAAGACTTTAATTAAAATAATGTTTAAAAAAATCGAAGATATTCAACCGAGTCCCTATATGAAGAAACTGGCCTATTTAACGTAAGGAAAATATACGCCTATGAATGTTTACTATTTACCTTGAGTAAACCTCTTAACATAATCTATCACAGACATAATACACGAATGATCACAAGCCAAGTTATGAACATACCACGCTGCAGATTGACTCACAACCAAAAATTCGTCACCTACCTTGGCCCTAAACTTTACAATCAGCTACCGACATATATTAAAAATATCAACAACCACAAAAAACTTAAAAAAAAATAAAACTATTCATTAAGAATCAATATAATCAATTGAAAAATATCTTTGAGAACGACTGAACCTGAAACCACCATCTATGTATACTCTCCTCTACATCAATATATCTCTATTTATATGAATTCTATATATTATATTCCGCTCAACCTGTTTTGTAAACCAAAAACAACTATGTTAGTCAGAGTAGTACCATATCACATTCGAGATATAACTTAGCTGCCTGAAGGACACAATACAAGCTCTGCTTAGGTGACTTCAGACTGCCAGGAATAGAAATATTCTACATTGTTTTATAAATATTCAAACATAATTTTGTAATACTGATATCGACCTAAATAAATCTATCTATCTATCTATCTATCTATCTATCTATCTATCTATCTATCTATCTATCTATCTATCTATCTATCTATCTATCTATCTATCTATCTATCTATCTATCTATCTATCTATCTATCTATCTATCTATCTATCTATCTATCTATCTATCTATCTATCTATCTATCTATCTATCTATCTATCTATCTATCTATCTATCTATCTATCTATCTATCTATCTATCTATCTATCTATCTATCTATCTATCTATCTATCTATCTATCTATCTATCTATCTATCTATCTATCTATCTATCTATCTATCTATCTATCTATCTATCTATCTATCTATCTATCTATCTATCTATCTATCTATCTATCTATCTATCTATCTATCTATCTATCTATCTATCTATCTATCTATCTATCTATCTATCTATCTATCTATCTATATCTATAGGTCCTAAAACATAGCCTTGTGGAACACCCTTATTAATCATTAGTTTATTTGACACAGAGTTGGTTGATTTCTTATTGATTGTCCTATTATAAAGATATGAATTCAATCAGACGAACTAGACAAGCCCAGTCAGCACATGCTTTCGTTGTCAACCTCGAAAGATGTCGAACAGCACTTTATCAAGACTCCTTCATCTATAGAACGGCTAGGCTCTGGAATTCATTGCCTGTGGAAGTATTCCCAACAACATATTATCTCCAGAAGTTGAAAAAAATTCCAATACCTACCTTTTGTCCCTATCCTCCCTAGGAACGCACGATGTTCTTTGAACATTATAGGTATTCCCTTTCGTGCGCTTCAAGCGATAAAAAAAACACTTACTAAAAGTGTTGTATGATCAACTGTGTCAAAAGCCTTTTTGAGATCAATGAAAACAGCTGCCACATAATTTCCTGAATCAAGTCCTTTCTGGATTGATTCTTTCACTTGTAATTAGAACATCAATCCATGAATATGTATTATTCTAGAGAGGAATGGGTTGCAGCTATAAATATGATATCAGGAAGGCTCTCCACTGTTTGTGAAGATGTGGAAATGAATCCCGCCAACACTGAAATCGGCATCGTTGAGGACCTGTGTGAAAAATTCTCCCTTCAGGGCACCTCGATCTCGAAATCCACGGGTAAACGGAAAGTGACCCTAGAAAGCTTCGAATTTCTCAAAGTTTTGGGGAAAGGTACCTTTGGCAAAGTCATTCTGTGTAGGGAGAAAGCTACTGGGAGACTTTTTGCCATCAAAATTCTCAAAAAAGAGGTTATAATCCAGAAGGATGAAGTGGCTCATACTCAGACTGAAAATAGGGTACTCAGGAGTACTCATCACCCATTTCTAACGGTGAGTTTGTATAATTTATTGGTAATAATTGATCAACGTCATCTTTGTCCATCCTAGGACACTATACAAGGTGTTTCATAACTAATTGGAAATATTTCAAATATAGAATTTTGAGCTCAAAATGGGAAGATTCAAACCAAATCACCTAGATAAAATGTGTCTCCTGTCTGAGTTATGGTGTTTTATTTGAAACTTGAAAAATTATTCACGCCTAGTACTTAGAAACTAGTGGACCTATCATTGTCATAATTAGTGTAGAGACTATAAACCCTACTAAATTATGTGAAATAAAAGTTCCTGACTACTACCAAAGGCTTATGACAGGGACAAGTGACTAGTTGATTCTTTCCATATGTTACACACATTTTCGATTCTTCAATACATTCTATGTAAATAACATGCTCTTTCTAGGACATATTTCAAGTTGAATGTGGTTACATAAGGAGCTGCACAATCATTTTGATTTTGATGTTTATCAATTATGTCGATGTTTTGGTTTATTAGATTGCATTCATTGTGCAAACGAATTTCAATCCATATTAACAGAAAAAAAGTGCGGGGCAGTCTTGGGACTGCCGATAGAAGTGAACACTAAGGAACTTGTGAATAGGCAAGAACACTCATTTCTAGTAAAAATACTATCACGATCAGAACATGCATAGAGAATTTTTTTATATTTTTTATTCCTTCTAGATTTCACGAAATAAATGTTTCCCGTTAGAACACGGAAAATCGTCTGCGGTACTAACGTCCCAAGTTATGAAACGCCTCGACCGAGGCGTCGACCGTCTATTGGTAGTCGGGAAAAAAATAGACAATTCACTATTCAGTGAAATGAACAGCGTCGCCATTTCGACCGATTCTTTAATTTAACATTTATCGCTCTCAGGTTTTAACTGATTTGATTGTGATGCCTCCTTACGAGCAACCCTCACAAGTCTTCAAGAGACTTGTGCGAGCAAGGAATGACGGGGGTCTTACCTTTTAACGTGTGATCCCAAACACTTCCAGCCATCAGAAACATGTCTGCGGTCGTGGTGGGAATCGAACCCGAACCCACCTACCGGCAATCTAACGCGGATAGAACATTGATGCTTTAACCACGAGGCTATGCTGGCCTGCTAAATTGTTATAATAAACAGCCTGTAACAGACCGTTACCACCGATAAAACAAGTCCAGCAGACTCTGACGTAAACAGCTCGTGACGTCGCATACTCAGGCCATCTTCCAAGGCATTCGCGTCGATCGATCGTCAGTTTGTTTTTGTTTAAGAACGGTGGCGTAGGTAAATCGCGTGTGCTGGAATTCTCTTGTTGTTTATTCATCAAAATAATTGGCGGAAAAATTACTGTTTTGTGAAATATTTCTTGTTGTGATAGCCGAAATAACAATGCCTTACAAGTGTTGTGTTCCCTTTTGTCGGGAGAATTATGTGGGTGGTCCAAAAGTTCATGCTTTTAGTTTCCCGTTGGACAAGGAACTATCAAAAAAGTGGGTACATGCAATTCACCGCAAGGATTTTACGACTCCATCTAAGTACAGTAAAGTATGTGAATTACATTTTACTAAAGATGATATTATTACTTCATCTACTGCAACCGATTCAAATACTGGCAAAACTGTAACAATAGATTTGAAAATTCCTAGGCTCAAACGAGATGTTATTCCCACTCAATTTCCCAACTGTCCATCTTATTTATCGAAAGATGTAAAATTACGCACAAGTCGTGATGAAAAACTTGAGATACTAGAGACTAAAAATTTGGCACAAGCACTTACCAAAAGTAAAACTGAATTCGAAAATTACCAAAAATCATTTTGCTACACAGAATTTCAAGAATTTCTAGTTGTATTAGAGTCTTTTCAGTTTCCCGAAAAGTGGTTCAAAATTATCGATTTGCAAAAAGTCACATTATTCAAATTGTCTTATTCTCCAGGGCCCGTAATTACATATTCGGTTGTGTTTGATTTTGTTTTGAATGTGGAATCATTTTTGTATGACCTAGCGATACAAACATCTCTAAAAGCCAATCTGAAAACACGTTTTATCTCTAATAATATCAATCAAATCAAGGAATTACTAATTGAAATAGATAAAAACGAGATACATGATTCGGGAAAATGTCTTGATAATCAGTAAAAGAGGGTTTCGAAACATATTGCGAATGCATTGGACTCTTTGGTTTCTGACTCAATACATTCTCAAATTTCTTTCTGAAAACGGTCATTTGCCTCGTGGCAATGAATGCAGAATTCATTCCAATGATCAAATTGCAACTATTATATTAACATGTACTACAAACACTCTACTTAAAAATTATTGTTTCAAGTCTAACGACCAATTGGGTAAAAAATCCAACAACAGGAAATTGAAAACACTCACTGGCTAGTTTTTTAGGTAATAGGAATTCTCCAAGATAAATATAGGTAATTAAGTATAACAAACGGCATGTCTATCAAACTAAAATACATTTTCCCCAATTTTCTTTCGATCAATCTCATGATAAGTTTATGTTCTGCGGGCCCTGTATAAGTAGGTGTGAAGTTTACCTCTAACGAGATTGAATCACTACAATTTTTGCCAATATATTTAATTCGAATGGGTTGCTGTAGGTGGGTATTTGTGTTTAATTCTGGTTTTTGCTTTGAAACTTCGTTTTTCCATAATAAAATCGATTGGGATGCGAAGAAGGGCTCAGTTGACGGCTGGCATCCTCTTTCAACCGGAAGCCCTTCAAAAAAAATGCAAAATCGGCTCAATAATGATCTAAAACTAAAATCGAAATACGCGATCCCCTTATAGCGCTATAAGCGCTTGTCGTTTCGAGCCGCTGGTTAGGCCTGACTAAGTGACGTCACCCACGGAGCATGCAGGCCTTGTTTTATTGGTGGTAACGAACAGACAGGAGACAGATTTTATCTAGGTGGTTTGGGTTGAATATTCATATTTTGAGCTCTGGACTTTGGAGCTGAAATATTTCCAATTAGTAATGAATTCATAAAAAAATTTCCCGTGATTTTTATAAAAGTATGGAAACATTTTCAAGTCGTGCTGATTAGATTCTTGTTTTCAGTCGTTGAAATACTCGTTTCAAACCAACGATCGACTCTGTTTTGTAATGGAATACGTAAATGGTGGGGAACTTTTTTTCCACTTATCACGTGAAAGAGTGTTTTCTGAGGATCGCACTCGATTTTACGGTGCTGAAATTATTTCCGCACTCGCCTACCTACACTCTCAGGTAAGCAACCTCAAAATATCGATTTATCAAAGAAAAACTTTTACAATTTTAGGTTTTATTTATTTTGACAATGAACACATTTTTTTCAAATGCTATCCCACAATTTTTTGAAGTTGAGAACTCCCATATACATTAAAATGCAAGACAGGAAACATTTTTAAATTTCTGTTTCCTATTTAGTTTTAATGAAGATATTCTACATGCTATACCTACTCACATTGTATTGAAACTTTCAACTTCACATTAGTTGGCAATGATGGGTTTAGAATTATTATTGAAACTGCAAAATCTAAGGCAACAAATTATTCAATTTTATAATTTTCCTACACGTTACGAGGGGAATACAAAAAGTATTTTTTATAAATTATAGAGTGCTTTTCTTTAATGTCCCCCCTCCCTTTTTATTTTTTGAACGGGTCAACTGAAAAAATTGTAACTTGGTATAATGAAATTGATGCATGCGCCAATACTATATTTGTTGTTGTTGTTCTTGATTACCCCAAGAAACATATTTGTTTATAATAGGGATACATAAACATATGATATATATTTATATATATATAGATATATAACAATAAAAAAATAATTAACAAGTTTTGTCGCTATAACATAATAATTAAAATAAAATCATAAGTATTCAAATAAGAATAAATTGCTCCGTTTATGTGTCATGAGTATATATGTTTTCATATTGACTTTGAATCTTGTTTCATCATCAATATGTTTCAAATCATATAATATCGGATAGGCTGCTCTTATGTCAAGAACTTCAAGGCAACCATTTCGGGCATCTTCTGAACTGAACTCAGCTTATTTTTTCAAATTATGAAGTAATGTATTTGAGCAAATTTCAAATGTTCCGCCATTTTGTAGTAGGTGAAGATGTTCTAGGGTTTTGAAGTAATCGTCAGGAGCTTCAGAATGATGTATCACAAGACACCCCTTTCCATTTTTTTTTTCAGATGGTGCCCAGTCGCCATCTTGAAATTTTTATCTGTCAATTTCACTCCAAAATATAGTATTCATGCATCAATTTCATAATCCCTAGTTTCAATTTTTTCAGTTGACCCGTTCAAAAATTAAAAGGGGAAAAGGCACTATATGAGTAGATTGTAGATTGAAAGTATATGATCGTGATATATCGTTGGAAAGGTAATTTCATTCTTAATCGTAATTTCCTAAAAATATGTATAATTCGTATTTGAATTGAAAAAATTGGATGCTCTTCCGGTCATATATACAAGAGTCTCGAGATCATACCCGTGTGTTCACCGAACACGCTCGATCGTTACCTAAGCGGTGGGGAGACCGAGACGTAAGCAGACAGTCATGATACAATGAGTGGGCAGGCAGCTTCTCTCATACTGTCTTTGTTTTTGTAGTACGGGGTGGGCCACCAACAGTTTTCTTGATCACATTTCAACATTTTTTTTTTCGAATAAATAAGAAACATTTGATAGGCATCAAGTGATCTACTGCGACCTATCAGATAATGAAAGCGATGATTTGATTTGCAATAATTCGCTATGTCACGACGAGTCCTACATGTGAATAGCGAACCACTCATCGAAAATCATGAAACTATATGTACATATTATATGCTTATGTTTTGTTGGCGAGGACGCTCGTTTTATTCAAATTATTTTCGATAATGTTCATCTGCTTCACTAGAAATTATTATTAGTAGTTTAGTAGTTATGTAGTATACTTAGTAGTATAGTAGTAGCAGCTTTGTTATTCAAAATGGAACACCTTATATTTCATTACATTTTCCGATTCTTCTAATTGAGCTATGATTTCGTTGATCAAGCTCAAGGTATACCTATACGTAGAATGTGAAAAATCGAGATTTTTTTGTATCGAAACTATACAATACCTATATTGATTTGTCAAAATGGCTTACATGTGTCCCTATCCTAACATTCTATTTACTATCTACTGATGCCATTTAATTGAAACAAATACAGGGTGGATCAGATTTCAGAATTATATAAAAGAAGTACTCTAGTATGCCTACTAAAAAAATATATATATTTGAAATAAACAAAACAAATATATCACATAAAAAACACACTCTAATATTCAACATAAAATAAAATTCAATCCCACTGGATGTATTTAAAAATATAAACAGTGTGAATGTCACTTCTATAATGGAATATCAACCCGTATATCTAACGTAACTGTTCAATTTTAAGGAGCGATAGATATAAATACCAACTATGACCAAAGTGAGGTAATCTTCAGTGAAAAACACTGCTCTGGTCATGGACCCACCAACATTTCCGGAAAATGATATTAAGAGGCAAGATAGGTTGAAAATCACTTCGGATTCGAAATCAGGACGTAACCCTGTACCTCGAAAACGAAGCAAGTTTAGGACACATGTTTATATGACCTTTATTCATCATATTATATGACAACGAATCATCCCTTGAATTATTTCGGTGTTATTTAGATACACCCTGTATAGATCATTCTTCATCCCAATATAGTTATTCAACATTTTTCCCATAGCGAAGTTCAGCAAATACCGATGGCGAGAGCACTATGTCTATTGATTTGATGTCTACCTATAATATATGTAAAACAAGAAGGCACAACTACTAGTGTTCCGTTTCGAAGTACATTAAATTGACAAATTTGACTCCAAAATAATTCAGGCACGCGCCAATATTCATAACGTAGTTACTGCTGCCCGTTTACGTTTCCCCACCGCTTAGGGAACGATCGGGCGTGTTCGGTGAACACACGGGTATGATCTCGAGACTCTAGTGTCATATATGGTCTGATACTAGCGAAATCATACACTCATTGAGTCAAATCGATGTAGCAAATTTGAAACATCCATACAAAATGAAAACGAAGATACAGGGGGGGGGCGGGATTGGATTCGGGTCACCCGGTATAAGTTTTGACTATATTCTCTCTTAGGGAATCATCTACAGAGACCTGAAGCTCGAGAACCTGCTGTTGGACAAGGACGGGCACATAAAGATCGCCGATTTCGGGCTGTGCAAAGAGGACATCACGTACGGCCGGACGACCAAGACGTTTTGCGGCACGCCGGAATATCTGGCGCCCGAGGTGCTGGAGGACAACGATTACGGCAGAGCGGTGGACTGGTGGGGCATAGGCGTCGTCATGTATGAAATGGTGAGTTGCCGTCGACCAAAAACAAAAATTGGGACATTTATGCAAGGAAATACAAAAGCATACCGGGTGTGTAAGCCCAAAAGGTAATGACGGTCAGGTGTAGTTGCATTTAAAAATAGCTATTTATTATGCAAGGGGAAAAAAGTAGGTTTTAGCTCGAGGTTGTATTGTTATTGAGGGAAACAAAAAACCGGGAGCTAAAATCTATTATTTATTATTTCCCGTGTATAATACACTATTTTTTTTCTGTGACATTAGAAAGGACGGATCAATATTGGGAAGATATTACATTATATTAAAATCAGAAAATCATCGACGTGAAATTCGAGGTTTTATAACATAAATTACACCTGCGTTGCAATCATATTTTTGCAGGCATCTTTATCAATCTTTTGAAGTATTCAAATACCTGATGAGTCTAATTCTGTGAGTTTATTTCGAAAAATCGCGAACTTAGTGGTTGTTTAGTAATTTATGTAACCGCGAAGTGGAATGGGATAAAGGGACTCAGTTCTTTCTCGAAGACAGTGTTATTGGCTTATTTTCAGGAACTAGCAGAACAAAAGCCATCAACAGTGTATATATACCGGGTGACACAGGGTATCGGGCCACCCATGTAACTTCTGCTATAGTAAACGAATTTTTCTGAAATTTGGTACAGTGATGTGAGCAACCATTTCAGATTTGATGACATTACAATCCAATATGGCGGACTTCCAGTTTTCATGGAAATGCTAGCAACTTTGTTTTTTCAAATGATGGAACACCCAGTTTATTTTTACATATTCAAGTTCAACAGGCCAAAACAAGTGCGATGTTTTAGACAAGATTGAGAAATGTTGTTTCCCACAGCCTACTTGAAAAATTATTCCAACTGCAAGGAAATTGATTGAACGAAACTAGTTGTTGATTTTTTAATGTTTTCAATTTGTTACTGCACCGCAATACAAAAATTATATGTCATTTGTTTCCTTGATGTATGTTCTAGAGAGATATTATGTAGGTAGACCATAGTAGAGTCCCTGTAGGTATTTGACAGTTTTGCTGTAATAAGAGTACAGACACTGACAAGCAGTGACAGAAGGCATTACCCCAAATTCTCAGAATGACTGAAGGTTTGGTTGAACAAAGACATGGATATTATGCTTTTCCATGCACTACAGATCTTCTTCCTTCTACTGCCGCGGTGAAGGGTACATCCATATATCTTTCTCAGTTTTTTTTTTCCATAAAGTAGTGGCGTCTCATCTCACTGGCCAAAAGGGGTTTTAGTTTTTCAACTTAATTTATTGATAAGATTTCTCTATATACTTAACAAAGGGTATATGTAGGATTTTAGGATGCACTATTTCTTCAATAGAAGCATCAGGATTCAGTAGCCAGTTCTGCTGAGCGAAGTGTAAATGGATGTGAAGAACAATTCAACCAGTTAACAAACTTATATTTGCTCTCATAAAATGCTTAGATACTTTACAGTCCATGATGGATAAAAATTCGACAAATACAAGTGTAATGTCTAAATAAAACCAACAATCTTGTTCACATGTAGGAAGATTTTGAATTTTTATTTTGAGAAGATAATGAAAACATTCATTCAATACACTAGGCTCGCAATTAATATTTGAAATTTGAATAAAGTTTCATAACCGGATGAGCCACACATAAACTTTATGACTGAAGCTTTTTCGACACTCTCTGTCAGTGCCCGCCAAATTGGTCATGTAATTTTAAATTTTTCAGGGTTATGCCTTCTGTCACTGCTTGTCATAGTGTCCGTACTCTTATTACAGCAAAACTGTCAAATACATACAGATACTCTAGACCATAGGGCTTCCATTAAAAAAAAATGAATTTTTCATCAAAATGTGATGTGACAGAAATATGAGATTTTCAGAGAAAATGTTCTTCTAGTATTTGGAACTCATTGTAAGAAGCCTTGACTACATATTATCATTCATCCACGAGGTAAAATAAAAAACTATTTTGAGTTCAATCGGTTTGAAAAAATCACATTTGTCATGAGGATTGCACTTGTTTGATCTGTTGAACTAGAATATCTAAAAAAATACAGGGTGTTCCATTGGAAAAAACAACGTTGCTGGGATTTCCAGAGAAACCATATTGGATTGTAATGTCATCAAACTTGAAATGGTTGCTTACATACCAAATTTCAGACTAATTCGTTTGGTAATGCAGAAGTTATAGGGGTGGCCCGATCTTCCTTTTTCAAACTCTTACTACATTTCTCCAGATGTGCGGCCGGTTGCCCTTCTACAACAGAGACCACGACGTCCTCTTCACCCTGATCCTCATGGAGGAGGTGAAGTTCCCGAAGAATCTGAGCGCCGAGGCGAAGGACTTGCTGGCCGGCCTGCTGGTCAAGGACCCCACCAGGCGACTGGGCGGGGGACCGGAGGACGCCAAAGAGATAATGGCGCACCCCTTTTTCCGGAGCATCAACTGGAGGGACTTGGAGCTGAAGAAGGTAGGTGCTTCGACAACAGATGTCTTCTTTTCAACAAATATATCAACTCAACTCCGTAGTCTTTCAAATCTTATCGATGATATTTTACATAAACTTCAAATTTCAGTAGAAAAATCTGTTTTTAGAACCTCTGAAATCTCTTCATGTCGTGTTGTCGACATTGAGCAGCTCGGCGTACATCAGGGGCAGCGTGACGACAGTCATAATACATATTTTAAACAGGGTGAGTCATTAGTGTGGCAAAGTGAGATAATGGCTTTACTGTTTGAGATAAATGAACAAACATTTCAGAGATGATCTAGGGTCATGAGCAGCACATTTCCAAATTATTTCGCTTTATACAGGTTGAATCAGAATGCTGAATCTTGAACCACCCTGTATTTGTTCCAATGAAATGTCAGTAGATAGTAAATTTAAAGTTAGGATAGGGATATAAAAGCCGTTTTACCAATAATGAATAGTTTCGACGCAAAAAAATCCTAAAGTCAAAAAATCTCGATTTTGCACACCCTATATCTCTGTAATCATTCTCGCTAGATCCCAATTGTGATGCATTGATGAAATCAGCTCACAAAGTATAATGCGAAAATGCAATGAAGTACAATGTGTCTCATAAGAAAAAGTATAATTTTGATACGCCACGCATTTCTGTGTCACCCTGTATAAAGCGAAATGATTAAGAAATGTGCTGCTCATGATCCTAGATTATCTTTCAAATTTTTGTTCATCTATCTCAAACAGTAAAACGGTTATCTCACTTTGCCACACTAATGACTCACCTTGTATATCTTGTTCTTTTTTCGCGTTAATTACTTCGCGTTTATCTTGCCAGATTCCGCACGTTGGGCGCCATCGAGGAGGAGAAGCTTTGTCGTATTAAGAAGAATAGTTGATGAAAGGAAAAAATAAGTTGGATGCTTGAATGGTTGAATGTTGATTGTGAATACGTTTATAATTTTGGAATGACAGATTAATGATGAAGCATTGTGCATAAATATGCCCTGTCATTGCCATCTTCTCTTATTTTTGCTCTATCGAGGAGGAGCACTGTTATATCACAGAAAATAGTTGATAAAAAGAAAAAATGAATTTGGATTTATAATTCATAATTATTGTGGGATGACAGATTTATGATGGAGCATAGTGCACAAATCGGCCTTGACTCCTGTCATTACAATCTTCTCATATTTTCTTTCCTGCCCATTTTCGCGTCAATTTCTTTGCCGCTCGTTGGGCGCCATCGAAGAAGAGGAGCGCCTTAATATTACAAAGAATAGTAGTTGACGACAGGAAATAAATGATTGATTGAATGTTCAAATTGATTCAACTCTGATCTTTATATGGATTCATTCTGATAAATGGCCAAAGGGCATTGGAGTGTTTTTTAATTTGAGCCATGTCTGCCAAATATGACTGACAGGAAAATTTCCAATGGGGCTGCGTCAGTTTTGTGTGACTGACGGTGAGGGTTTGACTTCAGGCCTTATCAGGCAAAAATGGAGAAAGTTCCAGTATTTTAGATGATGGATTTGAAACCTTGGCACACCATTTGAAAACATTATAAACGATTCGTCCCCAGAGGAGAATATGGTAGTATATTAGTAGAAACTGAAACGACTGACGCGGCGTGACAAGAATACACTTGTAACACGGGGCCGCGTCAGTCGCATTTGACTGACACTTCGCTGTGCTCGATCTGTAATATTCAGACGTCAACTAGAAAGAATCTATGCTCAACTTCAGTCTCCGATTACTAGATGACGCTTCGTGTAATACTGCCTGTGGTAGTCGGACACTAACAGTGAGCTGGCGCCACCTGTATTATTCCATGTCAGTCATTAAAGACTGACAGCCGCTAAAGTGTTGAACATTGTTGATCTTCCATTTTATTGGATACCTATTCAATTTGTTTATTTTTTTCTTGTGTCCCTCCATGAACATGTACCTTTGTATATTGGGGCCAATAAGTGTTATCATTATCATTAGATCCCGCCGCCGTTCAAGCCTCAAGTGTCCAGCGACACGGACACGCGCTACTTCGACTCGGAGTTCACCGGCGAGAGCGTCCAGCTGACGCCGCCCGACATCGGCCGCCCGTTGGGCGCCATCGAAGAGGAGGAGCGCCGGCCGCCCCCGCACTTCCCGCAATTCAGCTTCCAGGACGTGTCGTCGACGTTGGGCAGCTCGGCGTACATCGGGGGCAGCGTGACGAGCGTCGGGCCGATGCAGTGACGCGGTCTGCTTGTTTCATGTTCTCTAGGTGAGGAGTTAATGGCATATTTCAGAAGTGTTCAAATTTCTGGAAGGATTCCCATCACTTTCTATGTTGAAATTCTTGTTTTTTTATGCTGATTTTTCGCAATAAAATTGTAGGCTACTAATATTATATGGCGTCAGCGCACTGTGGTCATTGGTGTACTGGTTTAGGCTTTCAAGGAAGTTTTCCTGAGAGTGTATGCGCATGCGTCCATAATGTAATGGGTTTCCCAATAAGAACGCTCGATCTTTGAAGTGTAATAAAAAATAAAGTATAAATAAAACTGACATAATTCAATATTTATTTTGAAGCATATGTAACTACATTATGTTTTAAAAATAATGTCACTTAAATGTCTGCCTGGTGAGTCGAATTCTGCGAGTCCAATTTTCGATGACCTGATTGCACAGATGTGGCTCAATCGCTGTAATTTCGCGCCTGATGTTGACTTCAAGTGCGTCAACCGTCCCTGGTTTATCGGCATAGACACGAGATTTAACAAAACCTCATAGAAAAAAATCCAGTGGTGTTAAATCGCACGATCTGGGTGGCCAGTTGACGTCACCATTTCGCGATATATCAGAATCCTCGAACTGCTCATGCAATAATGTCACTGTATCATGTGCAGTATGGCACGTTGCCCGTCTTGCTGAAACAACGTGTTTCTCAGATCCATACCACCCACTATTATAGGCCACAAGAATGTTCTTATCATAGCCCTATACCGCTCACCGTTGACAGTAACTGCGACTCCTTCTTCATTTTCGAAAAAATAAGGACCGATTATTCCGCCGGACCATAGTGCACACCATACGGTTACTTTTTCAGAATGAAGTGGAACATAGAAAAATATTGAAAATCGTACTTGAGAAATTATTCTTGAAATAATTTTACGAATTAGTAACTGTCTAACTATGAGGTACAAGATAATATCCAGTTGAGAATTAATTTTGTCCACATAGGGCAGCAATTATACATGATTTATGAATATTGATTGTCAGACAATTTCTGTTATTTCTAGATGTACTTTGAAGAATAGGATTGGACCTATTACAACAGTAACAAATCCGATTTCACTAATCGAATTATGCTTTTTTTGATTGGTTTCTAGGTCAGTTGCCAACCTGATGTTTGCAATTGCGCTTTTCCATTTCCAAACAAGATAGAATCAGTTGAAAGTTGGACAAAATTCTAATCCTCATTCCCTTTTTTATGTTCCTATATTATTTATATCAACGTTTTCCTTGCATGAACTCACTGATTTTCATGCATTTTTTATCTATAACCAACGCCAATCATTTATACATCATAATATAATCCAACTGGTTGATTCCAGTGATCAAATTTCCACAAAGATTTTCGTTACATGAAATTCCATTATATTTAGTTTGCAAAATAATCAATCCGACTACGCCATTGTGTCCAGATTTTTCATTCTCCACAAGGCGATAAATAATGAAAATAAATAGATATTCACAGAATAGGTATTGAATAACCAAATTGGTACATTCATATTTATTCTAATCAGTTCATTTTTTTTTCAGCAGCGGGTACTTACGGAATGCAATTAGGCAGTAAGTTCTGAATTATTATCATTTTTGTGATAATCTTTTATACATAATGTAAATAGTTATTATATGTATATCTCAATAATTTGTTATCCCAAACGACAGTACTAAAACATTGTATATAAGTTAGGTGCATAAATTATTATTGGTTATAGTTAGTATTTGAATTAGAAAATCTGATTACTAAAAAACGAATGAACAGAAAAATAATTATCCACTGGAATCATTCATGATATGCTCTAATTATTCTTCACTAGTTAGCATTAGTCCCTTCAATACACAACACAAAAAACCTGTCAATTATTAAACCGAAACTGCCAATCGTCATAAGTTAGTTGCTATTGCCAACATTTTTATAAAGATTTTTCGATATTCGAGGTTAGTTCAGCATTTTTGCTACAAACAATTTTAGAAATAGACAAAAATGCAATCAAGCATTGTGATTTGTGAGTAGTCATACAGGGTGGATGATTAGTAAGTCAGAATCCGATTGCTCAGGTCTTATGACATCTAGAAACATGAGTCAAAAAACGAATGTTAACTAAATTACAGAATCTATGACGAGAAATTATCGTGTTTTTTTTTTCATTTTAGAAGATTATCTTTATCTGCCAGGTCTAAATTCCTCATCTGAGAAGATTGAAAAATATTAATGAATTAGGTTGACCCATTATAATAATAATATTAACATTTATTGATCCCAACAAACGTGTTTATAGAGGGATACAAAAAAAAATCAAATAAGCAATAAAATGAAAGATAAACAGTTCAATCAGAATTAATTGATCAATGGAGAGGGTTGAATTGATGAAATAAATTTCTTCAGTTCACTCTTGAATTTTCTGACGACCTTAATAGATTTTATTCTGTTGGGTAGTCCATTATAATTATTTATTCTACAAAAATATTACGATATTTTCTCAAATTGGGTTTTTATTTTGACAGTTTTCAAATGTTCACTTTGTGATGCTCATGGGTATCAGAATTGATATTGAAAGTAAGATCTCGGTGCTCTTTCTTATTTTCAGTGGAATGGATGAAAATGCATACTTTCATTTTGAAGAGAGAGTCAATATCTAGCCCCTTGGTTTGTATAGTCTAGATGTTGATTCCAGAAGTGGTAGTTACATTTTATGGCTTTATTATTGAGAAAAATCATCCCTAGCTATAGTATATTGAAAAAAAGGATACTTGAGAGTTTGAAGTAGGTTATTTGAATAATTCAACTCAATGTTCTTTACTTCTAATAACACCCTGTATATATCGTTTTCTAAATCAGACTAAACCATAGGGTATAATGATTTGAATAATTCAACTCAATGTCGTTTACTTCTAATAACACCCTGTTTTTCTAAATCAGACTAAACAATAGGGTATAATAAGTCATTCTAGAATCAAGACCAATTTTTGATACCCTATTTCACAGTATTCTGCTATTATAAATGCTGAACTTTCGTTCATAATAATGCACGTTCTTGCCAAAACAAGGACTAATGCTTGCTTGTGGAATCCTTGAACGTTCTCCTATTTATATCTTATTCAGTGTCTATATCTCGCATTATTCAATATCAACATGACCTGTAGGTCTCAGAAGTATAATACGAAATAGGAAGCTTTTTGACTTCACAGACAGAGTTGGTCATACTGATTTCTTTCATAAATTAAATAACATGAGATGTATACCAGAAACATGAAAGTATTCAGAAATACCAGGAATTGATGCTTGTACTACTGATTTCTGGAGAAGTGGAGATTATCTTGAATATTTTTAAATGATCTAATCAATACCATGGGATTCAATCCTCAGTTCCACTAAAATTTACAACCTCTAGTACATACCAGTTGAGAATATAGCGGATAGCGAGTCTGATACCGTTTAGCGCCTATAAAGTCTACGCTGTTCACAAAATGGTAACTTTATTAATGATGTATAATGGAAGTGGCTAGCTGATCGGTCGGCTGACTATGATTACTCTCAATGTTATACACAGAAAGTTGCCGGCATAAAGGATTTTCGATGCGTTTTAAACTAAGATATTGTAGCCAGTCGACCAGCAGTTCTAGTTCCCTGCAGCACAGACTGCTAAAAATTGAGACAGCGCATGGGTATGAACTGGTGACAGATCAATGTCCAGTTGATTACTTGATTATGCATCGCGTATGCTTATCTATTATGCTAGTCGATTGGCTTCTGAATTCAATATGCCGGTAATTTTCTCTTAGTCTATGTATATTATACTCTCAGGTTCCATCATAAGTTGCAAGGCGTGTTCGCATGCTGACTTTTCGCTTATTGGCTCACAGGCTATTTGTCAGAAAGCGAGTATCAAAGTCATAAAGCTAGAAAGTCGGTGTCACCACATAGTGTTTAACGAACACTGAATGATAGTCATTTCCCACGAGAATGACGACTCATGCTGCAAATCATACAAGTGGGAAATTAGCATTCCGGGCGAGTTATACTCTACTTTTTCTACATCTGTCACAGATGACAGCAAACTTTTTTATTTCTTCTTTTTGCACCCATCTGATGATTTTCCGTTTAGTAATCCTGATCTATTAGACAGACCTGTCATTGCTTGAAATTTGACATTTCATGGAAGATGAGATTTTGTGAAAAAAACGAACTCAGTAAAACAAGAGCAATTTTGTGTTACAGCCGGAGAAAAAATATTTAGAAGATGAATACAAATTGGTGCTTCATATTATTATGTAGTGTGGGGAACAGTGGTGATAAAGACAGGAGAACAAATTGTAAAAAAGACGTTTTCAGATGATGTACACCTGAAATTCAACTGTATGTGGCAGTCACTGTCACTTTTTTATATGAACAGTGAGCCCGTTTTATTCAAGCTTTTGGCTTTATGCATAAGCTGGCATGTGAATGCGCCATCATTAATCATGCGGCATAATTGAATCATTGACATCCTTCATAGTTAGCCGTTATCGGTCCACTATCCATAAACATAACCTCAATTTCGACTATTCATATTATTGTGTAATTCACTCAAAAGCTGTTAATCTGCAAATTATATATTTGGTTGACCACTAAATTCTGCAATAATTATTCTCAGATATTTGTAATTGGTGTGAGACTGGCTCTGTTACCTATGCCATCTACTTTATTCTTAACTGAAATCAACCGAATTCTCAACTTATTCGTTCCAATTTCGGAAACACTCAGTATAGTTATGAAATAACACATAATATCAAAATAAGTTTTGCACCTCTGGCCCCCTTAGGCTACTTTTTTATGAAAAAAACTGTTCAATTAGGTAATTGAAAGCTCAAATGTTTCTGGGGAATTAGTACATAAAGAATGGTGCACATAATAATAGATGTAACCAGACAGAATTGATTGAGATGAAAGTACTAATAATGTAATTACATTAAAAATTATCAAAATGCTGCTTGATTGAAGACAAGTTTGTGATGAACAAAAACAAAAATTTTTCAAATGTTTTCAAATGAATGGAACAATTTTCATTGAAACTATTGGGTAGAGAATTGATGTTACATATAACTCTAAAAAAGCTGTCAGCTCTATTTATAGAGTATATTGTATGCTTGATTGATCCTATCCAACATTTTATCTTCGAAAATGATGGATTCATACAATAAAATCAGAATGATCAGTTTCGTCTATAAGTAAATACAAGTATTTATTGTTAAACAATATTATCAGTTGCTTTTTTGGCATGTAGAAATCTTTGAAGGTAATTTATTATATAAATACGACTTTTTCGAATTGTGTGTTACTATTTTCTTGTATCACAGATCTATAGTAATATATTTTTTTCTGTTCAACTAATTTATCGTCATTATTTTCCATTTCACCGTTCTTTACTACAACCTGTATAAAGTAACACGTATAAGTTACATTGATTGTCGATGTGCGTCCAGTCCATAGGACTTTCGCTTTCGCCACCGAAGATCTACTGGAGATCTACTTGCCTACGTCACCCATTTATGGCAATCTTTTATAGAAAAACACGGGGAATCTCTAGCTGTCGCGTTGGACATATCGAAAGCATTCGACCGTGTTTGGCACGAAGGACTCCTCCACAAACTACCATCATACGGCTTACCACCTCAGCTATGCCATCTCTTATCGAGTTTTCTTTCAAGCAGATCGCTTCACGTGGTGGTGGACGGTGTATCGTCTGATACCATTGGCATCAATTCCGGCGTTCCACAAGGATCAATTTTGGCGCCAACATTATTCCTGCTTCATATCAATGATCTGTTGGGAGTAACAACTTGCCCCATCCACAGCTTTGTAGATGATAGTACCCTCCATACTGCGTTCTCTTCCAGAATTCACATTTCTTCCCAGGAAACTAAGAACTCACGGCGCAGGCAGGTCAATGCTGTCAATGAAGATATTGCTGAAATCACAGCCTGGGGAACAAACAACCTTGTTGAATTCAACGCCACCAAAACTCAAGCCTGCATTTTCTCTATAAAGGCGGAACTCAGTATGCCTGATATTGTAATGTCTGGCTCCACCATCCCCACCAAGCCCACCATATCTATGCTCGGTATTTCCATCAGCAACACTCTTTCATGGGATAATCATGTCAGATCCATCGCCAAAGCTGCTTCACAAAAACTCGGATTCTTGTTCCGTGCGAAAAGCTACTTTACACCTCAACAGCTTCTCATGATCTACAAAGCGCAGATACGGCCTGTTCTAGAATACTGTTTCCACATATGGGGTTCAGCACCAAAACATACGCTGATGCTCTTAGATTCCATCCAGAGAAGAGCCATTCGCCTGGTGGGTGACGCCACACTCACTCACTCTTTGACATCATTGGAACACCGTAGGAAGGTCGGCGACCTTTCACTTTTCTACCGATACTTCCAAGGGAAATGTTCTTCGGAAACCTCTGCTATCATCCCTTCACTAGCAATACCAATCAGACGAACTAGACAAGCCCAGTCAGCACATCCTTTCGTTGTCAACCTCGAAAGATGTCGAACAGCACTTTATCAAGACTCCTTCATCCGATAGATCGGCTAGGCTCTGGAATTCATTGCCTGTGGAAGTATTCCCAACAACATATAATCTCCAAAAGTTCAAAAAAAATTCCAATACCTACCTCCTGTCCCTATCCTCCCTAGGAACGCACGATGTTCTTTGAACATTATAGGGATTCCCTTTCGTGCGCTCCAAGCGATAAAAAAAATTCAAATTGCTTGTTTCATTTCATCTGAGTATCTTAGTAGATAAAAACTCCTCGATTCGCTGAGGTCGCAAAGTTCTTGATTTCTCAGGTTTGTAACCATATTCTGATTGCATAATTTTGCTCACATGAATATTGTGTTTTAGGTTTTGTCATGCTTAGCATAGAATAAATTGCGCACAAAGATGAGAGCATCATTTTTACCTAGAGTTCTTGGAAATATGAAAGTACCTATACCTAAAACATTCTCTTCAATTTCACTTTCGTCTACATTTCACATTCATTTTCAATGAAGAATTCTGATACAAACCGAAATTGTTTGAATTCGAAAATGGCAGTTGACACTTCTTACAATTGACAGGCCAGACAGGACTTCAACGACTGAAGGTGTGTTTACATGCAATTATCAATATTTCGTGACAAGATAATGAACCTCAAAATACAGTTGCAGTATCCCGTGCTTAGTTTTTTTTATGTTCTGGTTCCCACGAAAAGGGATATCCTGTAATGTTCAGAGAACATCGTGTGAACCAAGGGAATTAGTAGAAATTGGTGTTCTTAAATTTCTGGAGGTTATGTGACTCGGGGAACACCTCCCTTGGCAATGTGTTCCAGTGCCTCGCTGTTCGTTAGATGAACGAGTCTTTGGAAAGAGATGTTCTGCGATCTCCAAAGTGACCACGAAGGGGTGCGAAGCCTCAACTCGACGGGTTAATCTCGCGGGGACTGCCAAGGGACGTATAATTGTTGATATTTCAGGAGAGCATCGTCCATGAAAATGTCTATAAAATATAGCCAGATCGCCAACTTTTCAATGGTGTTCCAGAGAAGTGAGTCAGTTTGTGAGCGAGGCATCACCCAAGAGACGAATTGCCCTTTTTTGGACAGAATCCAACAGTTTCAGGGTATGTTTGGGTGCTGCACTCCAAATATGGAAACAGTATTCCAGGACAGGTCGGATCTATGCCTTATAGATCATAAGCAGCTAACTGGAAGTGAAATAGCTCCTGGCTGGAAACAGAAAACCAAGTTTTTGGGAAGCACTTTTCGCAATTGATCACACGTGATTTTCCCAAGAAAGGTTATTGCTGATAGTAATACCAAGCATCGAAATGGATCCCAAACAACACCAGTACATCCTAGGGACTTCCCATGGACGTCCCTGATTTCACACTAGGACATCCCAGGGATGTCCTTTGTCGGGACAACGTACATACTAGGGATGTCCCAGGGACATACGCTGGCCGCTAAAAAAGGCATCCAAGGGATGTCCTTCTGCTACGTCCCTGGGATGTACCAAGTACGATGAAAGGATATCCCTAGGACGTCCCAAGGATATCCCAGGGACATCCTTTCGACAAAAGAAAAAAGGTGCAGGTCGAGTAGGGATTGAACCCGGGACCTTTGGCTTATCATGCACGCACCTTGCTCCATTGGCTATCATGCCTCCTGAAGATTTATGTACTAAACATATATATAAACAGGACTTAACTACAGAAACCTGAATAAATACAACTTTCTTAGGAATTGGGTATAATTATTATCATTCTTGGCTGTTTAAAAATGAGGGGCATTATGCATGTACGATTTCTGTCTGCGAAAAATGGTAATTCCTCAAGAAGTTCTGAGTCTTTATTCTTTATTTTCATTACAATCATTTTCCGGAAGAAAAACAAACATTTTCAAAAAAATTCAACTCAATAGTTTGATTAAATTCAATGACTGTGATGTGAATATGGATATCAGATACTCCAGGGACACGAATAGGATAACCTAGGGATGTCCACTGGACAACCACTGCAGGACATCCCCTGGATGTCCCAATCATGTCCTTGTACCGCGGGACAAAAAAGGGACGTACCTAGGACATCCCTGTGTTGTTAGGGATGTCTCCAAAGGTATGGTTACTCCTGACATGCTTATGTTTGGCACAGTGAGATCGGCTTTTCTAGAGAAAAGGCATGTTAGTGTTTGATTTGCATTGAAATCTACCAAGTTATTGGATCCTCATTCGAGAAATGTTTGCCAAGTCCATATTTATGTTGTCAACATTTCTCCCTCGTTCGTTTCTGATTTGTCTGGCTGGTATTGAAGCACTGGAAGAGAAGGCGGTATGGAGGGTACTATCATCCGCGAAGCTGTGTACTGGACATGAAGTTGCTTCCAACAAATAGTTGCTATGGAGTAGAAATAGTGTTGGTCCTAGAATTGATCCTTGCGGAACACCAGCATTTATGGTAAGAGAGTCAGATGAAACTCCGTCGACCACTACATGGAGAGACCTGTTTGAGAGAAAACTAGCTAGCAGAGAACATAGCTGCAGGGGCAAGCCATAAGATGGAAGCTTGGCAAGGAGTCCGTGGTGCCAGACTGTTACAATAGACTTACGACACTTGTATAAAAACAAATATTAGGCAATTCCAGGAGACAGCAAACAAACTCAAATAATTTTTCAATAGGTATATTCTTTAATAATTAAGACATAATCCTTGTGCCTAAAGATAAACACATCGTTACTTCTTCAATTAGAGTTCGACAAATAAGTCACATCAACACAAAGTTTAAAAGGACTGCGCGGCCATATCGTCCGCGCATATGCCCAGCAAGGCCAGATCGTCGTCGGGCGGCAGCGGGGGCGGTTCGAGGGGCAGCCCGTGGGGGTGGGGCGGCGGTGGCGGCGGCACCGGCTCGTCCGTCGTCTCGTACGAGTACACGTCGTGCTGCGGGTACATCGAGTTCTGGTAGTCCTGGTAGTAGATGCTGGGGTCGATGCCGCCAGGGCCGTATAGAGCCTCGTCGTCGCTCAAGTTCATCGGTTTCTCCTCGGTCTGCAAGAAATGGGAGTCTCCTTGATATGGGCTACTTTCATAATCAAATCAAATGGGCTACTTTCATAATTCAAATTAAATGAATTTCAAGTTTTTATATGAGTCCAAACGAAAAAAGTGTTTACAAAGTACATTTCAAATGCTGAATTAATAGTAGATTAATCTCTGGTAGAAGTCCATGTTTGCTGGAAGTGGAGTGGAATTTTTAGAAGAAGGAAGGAAAGCTCAAAGTCATCTCCACACTCTTGAGCTTTCCTTCCTCCTTTTAATAGTAGATTGTTTTATTAGGATCAAAAGTGACACTTTGTTTGACAAGCGAATTTTGCATTTGCGAGGCGGAGCGTTCAGTGAAGCGTTCAACTTTAGCTCCTAGGAACTAGTTACTTTAGCTCCTAGCTGCCTAGTATCTAAATATGTTGCCTAGCAACATACCTATTTTTGTGTCAGTAACAGAAACGTCAATTCAAGAACTAATTCTGGTATCAAAATGGACGACTTTTGTGTAGGTTGCAGAAAAAATAATACATTAGTTCATTATTCCAGAGTTTTTGGGATTTTCTCTTCACGTTTCTATAAAATAAAAATATGAATATTATTTCAATTTACGTTAAAGTCATATCTAGCCAACAGGAGTCAGAGGGTACTGCTGAGGGTTCATGACGCCAATTACTACTCATCCACTAAATTTATAGAGACAGGTGTCCCTCAGGGAAGTATCCTGGGACCTTTACTGTTCATTATTTTCGTTAATGATTTACCGTACTGTTTTAGTGTTGGTCAAACTTCTCTATTTGCTGATGACCTCTCAGTAGTAGCTTCTGGCAGCACTATCAGCAGCCTTAGCCAGGCTTCAACTAATTACGTGAGAGCGACCAATGAATACAGTGTAAAAAATCACCTAGTATTGAACATGATGAAAACTGACCTTTTACAGTTTTCTGCCTCAAATTTTAACTACAGTTTATTAGTCAGATCTGAAAATTCTACTGTTTGTTAATCAAATGTTGTAAAATTTCTTGGAGTGCATATGGACTCACATTTAAAGTGGTATACTCATATTGATCACTTAGCCAAAAAAGTCTCATCCCATTGCTTTGTACTTTGGAGATTGAGACAATTTCTAGACCGAAATATTCTACAGATGTATTACTATTCATATATCAACTCTAGTTTATCTTATTCAATCACCATATGGGGAAACTCAAAGAGAGTTAAATCTCTCTTGATAGTACAGAAAAAAGTATTGGGAACAATAACTTTCAAAAATCGAACCGACTCCTGCAAAAACCTATTCAAGGAACTAGGCATTCTAACAGTCATATCATTATATATTCTTAAATGTGTAACTTTTGTGAAAAGAAACATCTGTAAGTACACTGTATCAGGTGATATTGTTAATCACCATATAAGATCTACGTCGAAGATCAGATTACCCCCTCATAGACTTACTATAACGGCAGAAAGTTGTATTGTAACGCCTTTAAAATTATATAACCATCTACCAAATGATCTGAAGAATATATCAAATTCCTATATTTTCAAAAGAAAAATAAAAACTCTTCTACTGCAGTACTCCCTTTATTCGGTAGATGAATATTTTAATATCAAATTTTAAAAATAATGTTGTTGCACTGTTCTTTCATGTATTTACCTCGTGTTTATACTCAATATCTTATTTGTGGATATACCTATAATGTATCTTGTATTCATAAATTGATGTCCTTTTTACCTATAGTACTTAGTATTTAGTAGTAGTTTTTAGTTTTTAGTGACTTGTCCACATGTCATGTAATTTGACCATATTTGGAATGAATAAATGAAATGAAAAAGTGTAGTAAGGTGAAATCAGATGATTTGCCCCAAAATGTCACAACGTTTGAAGAATTTTCCTGTCAGAAAGCCTAAAAAAAAATTCAGCAGCTTGTCAGTGACAATTTGTATTGAAAAAAGTTTGGAGAAGAGAAATAAAGGAATATAGAAAACATGTGGAACACCCTCATTGAAACACTCACCGCTGCGACCAGAGTGGGCGGCGGCGGCGCCTTCGGCACCTGCTCCTTCCTCTTCTCCACGGCCACCTTCGGCGCCGCCAGCACCGGCGCCGCCGTCACCGCGGGCGGCGGCGGGGGCGGCAGATCGAGCGGCGGGATCGACGACAACTTCGGGAAGCAGACGACGTCCGGCCGGGGGATGAAGGCGCGTGGGAGGTTGCCGGGCTCGAAGCGGGTGCGTCGCGGCGCCTCGTACGACTGTTTCTTGATCTCCTTCGTTTCCTGCGTAGCGATGAACCGGAATGATTATAGTAGAGCAGTTGGAGGAATTGGGGTGGTAATAATTCCCACAAAAACGCAGTTTTCATTTTCTGAAGCCTCATTCGATCCCTTACACAATATTGATAATACAGGGTGAGTCATTAGTGTGGCAAAGTGAGATAACGGCTTTACTATTTGAGATAGATGACAAAAATTTCAGAGATAATAATATTTTGAATAAATCACAGATCGACAATCCGTGATTAATCGATCATTTAGCATGGTACATATCCATACGCTAAGTGCCATTTTAGTTATGTGAGTAGAAAATAGTAGATTGTTTTATTAGGATCAAAAGTGACACTTCAGCGAAGCCGAGCGAAAGCAAAATTTGCGAGTCGAACAAAGTCACTTTTGATCCGAATGAAACATGCTATTTTTTCTGCAACCGAAACAATCAACTCAAATAAATATGTGAAGTAACCACCAATGCCGTGCCATATGTATGCAATGCAACAACTACTGACAAATAATCCATGTGGTGAGAATATTCTACCTGCATTAACAGCAGGTTAGGTTTTCTAGGATGTTCGAATTGTAGTTTCAATATAAATACAACCACAGAGTGACATATTTGTGTATGGACCAGGTGCTCTAATGGCAAATACCGCGCCAGTGCCAGCTATAGGAACAAGACGTGGAAAATGTTAGGTTAGTGAGCATACCAACAATGATACTAGTGATTATTTATTACTCTCCATACTACACTGTGTTTGACTTGATAATCAAATGAAGCTAAACAATATCGTTGTTTGAAACAAAAAAACTATTGCTTGCCGTGATTATTCAAAAACAAGTTATTCATCCCGAGAATAACGAATGAAATACAGATCAAGCAAGTATTTGAATCTTGAAGGTTTCCCTGATAAAAACGAAAATACTTAGCTGAGATGTTTATTATTCCAATACTAAACTATAATAAGGTGTATTTATATCTCCAGCATGGGTATGAAATGCCAAATCTGCTGAAATCGGAAACAAATCAGGTATGCGTCTCAACCCAAATAGCCAACCGTCACAATGTTGTTTATTCTTGATGACGCCCAGTAGATCCTTTTTAGTTCCTAGGAGCTAAAGTTCAACTTCAGCTCCTAGGAACTAAAATTATAATAACTAAAATAATGGACCAGGTGCTCTAATAGCAAATACCGCGCCAGTGCCAGCTTTAGGAACAAGACGTGGAAAATGTTAAGTTAGTGAGCATATAAACAATGATAATAGAGATTATTTATTCCTCTCCATACTACACTGTGTTTGACTTGATAATCGAATGAAGCTAAACAATATCGTTGTTTGAGACAAAAAAACTATTGCTTGCCGTGATTATTCAAAAACAAGTTATCCATCCCGAGAATAACGAATGAAATACAGATCAAGCAAGTATTTGAATCTTGAAGGTTTCCCTGATAAAAACGAAAATACTTAGCTGAGATGTTTATTATTCCAATACTAAACTATAATAAGGTGTATTTATATCTCCAGCATGGGTATGAAATGCCAAATCTGCTGAAATCGGAAACAAATCAGGAATGCGTCTCAACCCAAATAACCAACCGTCACAATGTTGTTTATTCTTGATGACGTCCAGTAGATCCTTTTTAGTTCCTAGGAGCTAAAGTTCAACTTTAGCTCCTAGGAACTAAAATTCAACTTTAGCTCCTAGCAACATACCTATTTTTGTGTCAGTAATAGAAACGTCAATTTAAGAGCTAATTTTGGTATCAAAATGGACGACTTTTGTGTCGGTTGCAGAAAAATAAAATTTTGTTATAGCTCGCATAGCTCCTGTGATATCCAAATGCGTGAGCAATTGAAATGAGAAATGCAGGTCCGTAATAAAGACAAATAGGTAGTTGATGTATTTCATTTTCCCCTTATACAGAGGGCGGATCAATACAGACCTGATCCTTCTCCTCGGGCGCCTTCGTGCGATTCTTGAAGAGCGGCATACGGCCGATGAAGGGCAGCTTCTTGTAGCTGGGCGGGCCGGGCGGCTTCTTCTTGCCCGCGCTGGGCTGGTCGGGCTTGCGCTCGGGGCTGCGGCTGCGACTGCGCGATACGCGCTCTTTGTACGAGCGGGGTTCGTTCTCCTTCCTGTACCTGCGAGAAATGTTTTTTTTTATCTCTTGGAGCGTTCGAAAGGGAATCCTTATAATGTTCGAGGAACATTGTGCGTATCTAAGGAGGATAGGGAGAGAAGGTAGGTATTGGATTTTTTTTTGAACGTTTGGAGGTTATAAGTTCTTTTTCCTTCGGCAGAGAATGGTGTTGTATGGTGGTGGGTTGAGCACACTAGTCGAATTTACGCCAAATACCTCTTTTATATTGATCATTTCGATTATAAATAGTATTTGATGCAGTCATTCGTTATTTAAAATCATGACAGATACTTTTTTTCAAAAGTTAAAATCGGAACCTTCGAAAAACGTCTGCTCTCGACGACGTCATACACCTTCTCACGTCGCAATAGTGATATTTCTTGATATACAGGGTGTCCGGAGATAACACCGACAAGACTTGTGGGGTTATAGGGACTGTCGATATGATTGCAAAATGACATTAACCGATGTCCAATACCGCTTCGTTATTGACATACAGAGTGATTTGTGGATTTTGACAAAAAATTCAATCCGCCATATCAAATACAGGGATTAACCGATTAGATTCAAATTTGGTACACGAATTACACTGAAAAGCATCAACAAGTAGCCCTTTGATCGAATCCAATATCAGGACCGGAAGATATTTTTTCCCTATGTTGAGTTCTTGTGAGAATAACTCACCCTGTATAATAATAACGAAAAATTTCAACTCAGATTCGACATCTACGGTAAAAATTTCATGAGAATTTGTTGAAAAATCTCTTGGCACTATCTTAGATATTCCGTAATTATTATTTTAATTTTTTTCTTTCAAAATTCAATTATTGTCGGATAAAGTACTATCAAAATTGGTAATATAATGAATATTAACGAAACCAAGACACGAATATCGTTATTTTCTTCAATCAGTCCGTAAATCGTAGTTAAATAAAATACTCTCATTACCCGAAAAAACGGAAAAAGAAATTCGTATCAGGACTGGAATGCGGTTTTCTATGATTATATTCCTGTAAGAATAGATGATCTAGTATAACAATGATCTGATCGCAGAATCGAAATGCACTGAGAAAAGTTAAAAAAAAAATGATCGGATTGAACTTTCAGATAATAAATCCGTATCAGTACCTTATAATGTTTGTGTATAAAGAATACTAGGCTTGTGTCAAATTCAGAATTTCATTATGGAAAACCATTGTTCAGCTGTCATCAGCGTTTGTTTTATTGGTGTTCATTCATTATTCCAGTGTTTTTAGGGTCAAACTATAGTTCTGAGAGTGTGCTTATGATGCCGTTTCATTTCACTTATGAGGAATACGCAGATATTCTATTTGTGTTTGGGCTTTAACTGGTGATGTTTACCTAAATTTCCTGGTCAATACTTGACCAGATCTATTACAAGGTGTAAATACCTGAGGTATATGGTTTCAGCATAATGGTGCTAGACCTCACTGTTCAGTTCCAGTTAGAAACCATCTCGATGCCAATTACCCCAATAGATGGATTAGCCGTGGAGGTTCAGTAAATTGGCCACCGCTATCCCCTGATCTAACTCAGCTAGATTATTTTTCATGAGGTCATTTAAAGTAAGAAGTTCATAATGAAGAATTTTTTTATGGGATATTACTGCTGCATGTGTTAGTGTTAGAAATAACCCTCAAATAATTCGCAAGTCAGTGAATCATCTAATAGCACACTCTCAAAAATGTATTGATGTTGGAGGGCTCTACTTCGAAAATGTTTTGTAATACTGGGTAGTGAAAGTTTTTCACGAATTCGTTGCTTTTGTTATGTTCATTACAAACAGTTATTGTTCGTTGTGTAGTATTCTCATAAATTCAAATTCATTAGTGAGCGAATATAATTTACGAAATCTTCAGTGTAATCCTTCTTTAACATGTTCTTATACGATTTTTTCAGATTCCGAATCTACGATCAGATTATTGATAACTATTGATGTACTAGGTCAGCTAACATGACCAAACAAAACACTCATTCCAGTCCTCTGATACGAATTTATTCTTCAGTTTTTTCGGGTTATGAGAATATTTCATTTTACTCCGATTCATGAACTGATCGAAGAAAATAACGACATTCATGTCATGGTTTCGTGAATATACGTACTTTATCCGACAATGATTGATTTTTCAATGAAAAAAATCAAAATAACAATTAATTACGGAATAACTAAGATGGTGCCAGGAGATTTTTCAACAAATTCCTATACAGTTTTCACCGTAGATGGCGAATCTGAGTTGCAATTTTTGGTTATTATGATACAGGGTGAGTTATCCTAACAATAACTCAACATAGGGGAAAAATATTATTCCGGTCCTGATATTGGTTTCGATCAAAGGGCTACTTGTTGACGCTTTTCAGTGTAATTCGTGTACCAAATTTGAATCCAATCGGCTAATCCCTGTATTTTATATGGCGGATTGAATTTTTTGTTAAAATCCACAAATCACTCTGTATCTCAGTAACGAAGCCGTTTTGGACATTCGTTTATGGCATTTTGCAATCATATTGACAGTCCCTATAACCCCATGAATTTTGTCGGTTTTATCTCCGGACATCCTGTATACTTCTTTATTCCTAAACAACCAATTCGAGCATAACCGCATATTTCGACGCTGCCAAATTTATAACTACATAGTAATCACCTTATGATATTCAATATGACCAATGACAACAGTAATCATATTCATAGAAGACAATGTTTCCACCTGGTTCCTAATAATCACTTATTGGATACTAATATGTCTTGCAAGATGCTTCAGTACCAATAAGAATATCCTAATATTCCTGAAAATGATCGAGATTTCATTTGAACCCAAACTATTTTGTAACCCTGGCAACAGCCTAATGCTCAGAGTTCACAGAAATATTAAAATAATAATTCTAGCTCAACTTGTTGTTGTGGTTCTTTATTACCCCAAGAAACATATTTGGGATACATAAACATATGATAGGGATACATAAACATATGATGATATATATAAAACATAAAAAAAAACTAATCAACAAGTTATGTCAATATAACATAATAATTAAAATAAAACCATTCCAAGTATTCAAATGAGAATAAATTGCTCCGTTTATTGTGTCATGAGTATATATTTTTTCATATTGACTTTGAATCTTGTTTCATTTTTTTTTATCGCTATGAATTAAATAAAATGATTCCGTTGTAGAATACTGATTGTTTGCCAATGATGGAGTTATATGGGTTTGCTATTAATGAATTCAACTGTCTCGTTGCATGAGTATGAATTGTATTTACTTCAGTAAAGTTCAAGTTGGATATTTTTATTTTTTTTCTCACAAAATGAATGAAAGAACAAATTTTCATTTTATATAAAGATAATAAATTCAACAGATTTTTTGGTTTGTAAAGATTAATAGTTGGTTCCAGGTAATGTAAATTGTAAATGCACTTAATTGTTTTATTTTGTAATTTCATTAATGGTTTCAAATGTGATATACTTGTGCTTCCCCAAATTGAAATTAAATATTGTAATTTTGAGTAAATCAGACAGAAATATATATTCTTCAAATATCTAAGAGGAATGAAATTTCGAATTTTGTATAAAATGCCAGTAATTGGATTGAGATGATAAATTCAACAGATTTTTTGGTTTGTAAAGATTAATAGTTGGTTCCAGGTAATGTAAATTGTAAATGCACTTAATTGTTTTATTTTGTAATTTCATTAATGGTTTCAAATGTGATATACTTGTGCTTCCCCAAATTGATATTAAATATTGTAATTTTGAGTAAATCAGACAGAAATATATATTCTTCAAATATCTAAGAGGAATGAAATTTCGAATTTTGTATAAAATGCCAGTAATTGGATTGAGCTTTTTTCTCAGGTGATCTATATGTTTAGTCCACGATAATTGTTCATCAATATAAAGACTTTCTAACCTTCACCATCAAAATCTATCATCTAGTCAATTCCGGGGTCAAGGGTCAAATCTAAAAAATACTGCAAATATCTGTTCTCTGTTTTCTGCAGTGAGTATTCATTCCAGAAAATTCATTAATTTTGATAAAAATGGCAATCATAAATATTCTTGCTTATGTCTTACAGAAATAGAGAGTGGATACGTAATTCGAATCTAATATGCATTGGTTGCATTGGATTGTTCACGGCTGATTTCGTCACGCTTTTCCCAGTGATATCTTAATTAGTTTTACCTGTACTTCTAAATAATGAAACAACATTTTTCACTGAAACAGGTCCATATGTTAAAAATTTACCTGCTACTACTCTCGTGCCTATGATATCTGTCTTGATGATTCTCTTCATCGTCACTCCTGGATCGTGACCGTCTTCTGCGATAGTTCGTCTTGAACCTGACCTGGTTTCTTTCCTTATCTCTGATTCTGTCCATCTCATCTTGGTCCCTACGTTTCCGTTCTCTTTCAGCTTCTTCTGCGGCCTCTCGCTCTTCTTGTTTCCTCTGTTCTAACCTGAAAAAAATAGGGTTAATGTAATATTTCCTTCTTCAACAGTTGAAAAACACGAGTATCTTTCAATCGGATAAATTTCTCCTTGAGTAAGTAGGAAACAAACATATATAAACTTGCACAGCTAAATACAATTTCATGTTTTAGATGATATTACCAACACCATTGGACAAACAGATGCAGATGCAAACATGCATTATATGAGAGCTTCGAAAATGTATAAGCTTTGAATGAATATGAATCATGAATATCTTTTCAAAACGAAAATCAAAGAGTGCCTCTTGGAGATACAGTAATATTTCAAGAATTACTATAGGTATGTTTAACATTGCATGTTTTGGAAAAGTAGAGAATAAAATCATCCAATCTTTCAGCGCAGCATTCAGCTACGAAATCAACAACCACCGCCCCAATCACAGATAATGAAGAAATCACACGATGATCCAGACTATGATATAGTTTTCATCTTGATATATAATATCTCACTTGCAGACAACACTCAATATGATAAATGATAAGGTTCTTCATATGTGGGAATTGTTTTCCTGTGGATTGAACTCCATTGTTGATCAGTTGATAATAACTTGATTACTTTAATAACTGATTATATAACTTTCAAGTTATTTGGTAGGTTACATCGGTTATATAATTTTTGACCTAGAGTTAGCAACTTTTTGAAACAAGTGGAAAAACAAATCACTATCCTGCATGATGAAACAATGAAATGAATACCTATCATTGGAAATTGTAGGTAGGCACCTTTCCATAATGAGTATACAGAGTGATACATAGAACTAGAATTAGGATATCTTATGTTTCCATTGTTATGATATGTATTGGTTGTAATCCTGGTAATATTATATGCACACATGGATATTTTCAGTTCTTGTTTTTGTATGGGGTATTCACACTGTTATAGTTTCCTGGAAATAACTGTGATTCAGGACTGCCATCTCAGAGATTTCGATGTGTAATTATTCTTCTTAACTTCAGGTAAGGAATAAATTCGACATTTCTGTTATACTCAGCATTCACAAAAAAAAAACTTTAGACCTCAATTTTGTTTTCCAGATTTTTTAACCAGTTGAAAAATGAACAGAGCGATGCAAATCTGTGTGAAAATTAGATGGGTGGCTGTGTGGCTTTCCAAATTGCGATATAAACTGAGTTTCCCATCAAAAAACCTATTTTCACTGAGATATGCTATGCATTACCCTGTATATTTTTTGACATGCCTAGTTGAAAAATGGGACATCAAAAAACAGAATTGACATGTCCCATAGCTTTTTCAAAAACCTTATTTGGTATACCATGAATATTGAATTCATTCAAGCTCGTTGACCGGCCCTGAAAAACTCCTCTATCTGGGGAATAAAAATTCTTAAGCGGCCAATTAATGGCAGTCTCTGAAGAGTCTCAATCGGGCCGAAGATATTGTCACGGAGTAGCTTGCGGCCTCCACCTTTCGTCCCGGTAGGGTGATCCTTCCTACCTTTGTACCACGGGGGTGAGTACGATGCCCCCTACCTTCTGGGGCTGCTGACTTCTCCGTGATGGGCTACCCCTCCAGCTACGTTTCCTTGTGGGATATGCCGAGCCGTGAGGTTTAGATTATTGGGGGTCGTAGTGGCAATGCGAGAGGTGATCTGACTAAAGAGGAGTTGCAGCAACGAAATAACGAGAGTGTGAATAAAGAAAAAATACAATTTAATTAAATAAAGAAAAAAGTTATATGTGTACAAAGTGGAACAAATCAAATCAAAACGAGTGTACGTGTATAAGGAATCAGCAAATTAAACAAATGTGGTTAAAGTGAAGTGAGTCAAGTGTGAAAAATTATAACAAAAAAAATCAATCATGAGCAAAACAAAGTGCTTCGGAGGTTACTTACTAACATTAATCCCTACCAGGGTAACGTGCGACACGCCCCTTCATTAGTACATTACCTAACTTCATCCCTGGATTACTTAAAGTTGCCGGAAGGGCCTAGCACGAGATCAGCAGCGTTCAAAGTGAGTACTGATCCCTATTTTCCCTAAGTATGGGGCCAATTAATATTGAAAACAAATGATCGAGGTACTTACATTGCTACCAGTACTGCCAATACTCTCGCCGGGGGGATGATGTGTCCTGGATGGGTCATCTCGTTAATCTCGATACCAACGCCACTCGATTTATTTGATTTAGAATTTGAACTGGATTTGGAATGAATCTCGACTGAATTTCGAATGAATTTGGAAAAATCTCGGCTAAATTTCAACTGACTTCTGAATCACATCTAGACTGAATTCTGAAAGAATCCGGAATGCTTCCCCGGCCACGCAGTGTGGTCCGTATTTATGTGCGAACGGTTTGCTTTGTTTGCTAAAAACTTCTCAAAACTACCTAAATTGGTGCCAGGTCGTGAAACTCCTGAGTTCAACGATCAATTATTTCATGTTTTGCAAACCGGTCGATTTTTGTCGACGCCATCAAATTATTTGCAGTGAATTAAAATTTAATTGTTTGATTATTTGAAATGACCTGGATCTGAAGGTGTATTGACTGATATACTGAGTGGTCCCATCCGTGACAATATGTCATAAATGCAGTACGTTTAGGTACTTGCTTCTGCCCTCCAGGTACCCTCCAATGTAATGATCGGCATACTGATGGCTTTAGAGAGACGGTCGGCTGTCGGCCGCCGGGACACAGGCTAGCCGGCCCAATTTACTTGTACAGTAGATGACAGCTGATTCAGCTCGCCGGAAAATTTCATAGTGCCTTCAGAGGGCCGCAAAAATCATGATTGCTGATATCACCGAATATAATCCAAGTATCTTGAATTCCTCTAAGAGTATTTCGTCCTTCTTATCTATCCTCCATAAACATGGAAAACTCTGATATAGGTCGATAAATTCTGGCGAAAAATCAGTTGATAAGGGCCACGCAATTTCCAAAAAGTTATCAAAGCTTAGTGTGAATACTTTTATTGAAACCCCGAACTAAACGGAATGATATTCAAACTACCATATATGCAATTATCTCTGTTCCACTTTTATATTCAGGAATACAAACAGGACGAGCCTAAAAACAGTATTCACAGGTAGTCATATAACATGATAATTATTATAATACTTATCTAAGAAATTTAGTGGGGAACCTAATTCAAAATTAGGATGGTATACAAAATTTAAAAGAAATACAATAAATCTGCAAGGTGCTAACAAGGATTCAAAGGTTCGAGAAAAAGTATGTTTTGAGTTAATTTACAAAGGTGGTAAATGAATTACAAAATATATCAATAACAATCAGATTTGATATTGAATTATAGCTTTTGAAGCAACGATGATGGGGGGAGTTCAAATAGTAATTTGTGTTGGCCGCTTTTCTGTGAAGTAATTGATGACTTCGAGTAGGGTTACGGGTACGTTATATCGAATGGAATTATTAATTGGGATTGAGTCTATCATATTATTTACCAACTTAAACGAAAATTTTATGTCGGCAATATCTCTTTTATTTTCGAGACTAAGTAAATTCAACTTTCTGCCTATAAAAGTTTTATCGACATGAGGCGTGTTACGGAAGTATTTATTCTCAATATAGTGTATGAATTTGTTTTGAATATTCTCTACTTGTTTTATGTGAATAATATACTGGGGATTCCAGATTGTAGAGGCATAACTCAAGGTGCTATTGACATAGGACATGAAAAGGATACGAGCAGTTTTAGGATCTTTAAAATTATAACACGATCTGATAATGAAGCCTAGCATCCTATTTGCCTTTTTAGAAATATATGCGATATGCTTGTGGAACAACATTGTGTATGTATGTTATTATACGATTATACGATTCAACTGCTCTTCTCTTCACTATCAGTCGTGTAGCCTATTCAAGTTGAATGAATGGAGCATGTTCATCTCAACAACATAACAGAAAATCAATAATTATAATCCTCACCTTTCTAGCTCTTCTCGCTCTTTCTCCCTCCTCCTTTGCTCCATCTCGGCCAGCCTGGCCCTCTCCTGTTCCTGCTTCAATCGCATCCTGTCCTTCAAGTTGTCCAGCATCTGCTTGTCTTTGGGCGGCGGTTGCGAAACCGTCATCCACTGATTGATCAGCGGATCCTCGGGGGCGTCCTTCGATTGCATAGAAACTCATTGGTTATGTTTTGGGAAATATGGCAACACTGTATTGTTTTCAATGAAAGTAGTTTTTTGTGTTCGCGTAATGAGCGTTACAAGTTTTTGAGAAAATTGCACACAAGTAGTTTTCTCCAATCAAATGGTATGTACTATAGTGGAAATGTTTGGGTACCCACCAGCAAATTAAATCGAGAACTTTGTGTCGTTTTGATGACAGAATAATATTTTTACGTCAAAAAATAGTGATTTTGTGCTACTAATATGAGTAGAAATCAACAATCAATAGGCTGAGAATCAATTGTGCCCAAATTGCATGTGTTATATAGAATGATAGGTCATACCACTAGCTGTGCCAGTGTGAGGCACATGAAAGGCTAAGATTCAAAATCTTTGGTGCTGATACGTTTCAACAGAAATATGTAATTAACCTAAGGTGGACAGACTTACTGACCATCATCAAAAGGTCACGGAGGTTCGAAAAGGAGAATTAGGGGTAGGGGTCCTACTTGGTAGCGACCGCCTCCTTTTTCACTACTACTACTAGTATGAATATATTGAAGACTGGAACCTTTGGCACGATAATACACTAAACTGTTTTACCACTAACCAAACCGATTTTTTAACGCCTCGACACGTGTTTCGCTAACTATGTTAGCATCTTCAGGAGAATATTGAAACTTCTTCTTCTCCTGATCTGTTCAAAATTCAGCATTCTGACCACCCTTGTATCTGTTCCAATTGAATGTCTGTGGATAGTGAATCAAAAGTTGGGATAGGGACATGAAATCCCTTTTGACCAATAATGAATAGTTTCGACGCAAAAAATTCCTAGTTGAAAAATCTCTATTTAGAACACCCTATATATCTGTGATCATTCTCGCTAGACCCCAAGTGTGATGCATTGATGAAATCAGCTCACAAAGGAGAATGCGAAAATGCAATGAAATACAGGGTGCCCTATAGGAAGAATTATAACTTTGATACGTCACGCATTTCTGAGTCACCCTGTATAAAGCAAAATAATTTGTAAATGTGTTGCTCAGTAACCTAGCATTTTTGTTCATCTATCTCAACCAGTAAAGCCGTTATCTCACGTTGCCACACTAATGACTCACCCTGTATATCAATGACTTAACAAGTATCAAAATTAGAGGAAAGTTTACTATGTTCGCAAATGACACCACAATACTGTGGCATAGCAACTAATGAGGAACTAAGTAAGAATGTCGCTGAGGACATATTGGAAGAAAAAATTGGTGTAATGCAAATAAATTATCATTCTAAAACATGTATTTTGACGTTCAAGTGCACTCTTAATTATATATTTTTCTGAATCTGACCAAAGTATCGGCTAAGTTTTCAGGACTCTATGTGGATGACAGTCTCTCACTCAACACCCACATTACAAATTTATGCAAAAAATATCTTCTGGTTGTTTTGCAGTAAGAGTCATCTCATCTCAATTGAATATATCTGCAGCAAGATCAGTCTATTTTGCCCTGATTGACTCAATTTTGAGATATGGAGTTTGTTTTTGGGGTAATAGTTCTCAATTTCTATTGAACTCTGTGTTCATTTTACGATAGATGGCGGTAAAATTATTTGTGGCACAGTAAATACTGACATTGACTGGCATCTTCATTCTAGAGAGTGTATGTATGATGCACAAAAAATATACCATGAACATTCATTCGATGTCTCTATACAACACAAGGAATGTTGACTGTACGGTTTCCCTACTAATTCCTAGAAGTACATTAATTAAAAAATCTATTATTTATAATGCAAAAAAAATGCTTAATCAACTGCCTTCACATATTCGTTCATTGCTACACATATGTTTAGAAAGGCAGTTAAAGAGCTACTATTGAATAAAGCCTATTATACCTTATACCAAGAATGTTATGAAGACGCATTTTTGAGCTTGTTAGTTTTTATAATTCGTTTTTTAATTAATGAATATCTTCTTTTTATAGTCTGACTTTTACTAGTATATGTTCTACTTAAATGTTTTGTTCCTGATATATTATGTGCATATTTTACATGATTTTATAGTTTCAATATTAGTTATAGCTCATCATACACAAGGGCCAATCCAGGGAGCCGGTGTAGGGGGGGGGCGACTGACGAATGAATACTATTGTTGTTATTATTGATATTATAATTATTTTGTTTACTGAACTATTTCAACTTCAAAAGATTTTATTCGGAATATAGTTAATTTTTAAGCGAGTGACGAATGACTTTTGAATCAGGTTTCTTTTCAGGAAGGATTTAACTAATGATCAGGAAATTCTATACAGGTAACGATTAGGGCGTGAAAAATCTGGTAGAACAGGTAGGAATCGGAGCGGGGGGCTAAGAAAGAGGATTAAGAGATCTTTGCTGCACTTTGAGTGGGGAGTGGACTTGAGAGCTTACTGCGTCACCACGCCCTCTGTAGTTTTTAGAGAACAATTGGCCGGGAAATTCCATATAGTTTTATTGCCATCTTGACAAAAGACTCAGGCGCGACAGACAAAATTTCCAGTGTTTATCTAGCCTAGTTTATATTAAATAACAGAATGAAAGACACAAAATGTTTTGTGACCTCTAGTTAGATTTTATAACCATAAAGTACTTGACCTCTAGTTAGATTTTATTACCACAAAGTACTTACGTCACAGCACGACAGCTTTAAAAGCCGGAGGCTGGGTAGTAGGTTCTAGTTGAGATTTGTGTAAGCAGAGGGCGCCAGCCAATATTTACATTGACAGGAGGGGATTCGTACAAAACCGCAAAATATTGTTGATTGAATACTAATTATTTAATTTAAAAGTAATAATATAGCACAAGAATTGAAGAGTGGTTAATTGAATGATGTACCTAAATGAGAACACCTACCAACTTAAACTATACAAATATGATTCATGAGTGAAATCAGAGTATGAGCAGTTGAGATATCTTTTAGAAATGTATATATATGATTACATACACAATTAACATTATATAAGTAAACCTTTGTTCACTACAAGAAAGTATATATTTATACTATATCAGCCTGAGGATGAATGATTCAACGTGGGTTGATATACTTTTCAAACAGCTGTTCTTAAAGTTTACAGTGAGTTGAATTGAAAAATGAAGTATCTAATTATTCAGGATTGTTATATACTATATGAATTTTTTATATATCTATAAGGGTGTAATTTCAAGTCGAAGATTATAAAATGGCAACCAGGTTATTTTCTTTCCAATATCACAGCTTTTACTATCCAGTCCACAAGCAGCTATCTGGCCTTCGCACGGTATTAAAAGTTGGAACGTACTCACAGTTACTTTGTTGATTTATATTCGTTTAGTTGGTTCCACATCGAACGCCCAGTACATTATCAAACCATACAGTTTCAGCTAACGTTTCCTTTCATCAGCTTCCTCCTTTAAGTATTTCAATTTTGTTTTGGTCTCGCCTCGTTTCCTTTCCTCTATGGCTGAATATTACAAATTTGCCAAATATGCCCAAATTGACTATTGAATTGCTTCAGTTGTTATAAAGCTGGTTTAATATTATCTTGAAAGGCCTAGAATTGTTTGGCATACATAAAAAGTGTGAAATTACTAATGGTTAGACTCAATAACGATCATATGAACGAAAAATAATAAATACTCTTTTTATGATAATCATTGAATGTCAGTATTGATTGATTTTTATTTCCTTTTCTTTTCTTTTTTTTATTAAGCATGCAAGTTATAACTATGTGAAAATCAACAAATATAATGTATGATTAAATGTAATTATTATCGAATTATATAAATACAGTGAAAAGAAGGAAGATTACCTGTAGATGAAATTCGGCCTTTCCAATCTCAGATTTCAGATCTTTACCGGATTGTTTCTCGTGATCAAATAGCTCGGCGAATTCAGATAGATGGCAAAAACGAGACGAGTCCCAAAAAACTTGCTCATTGCTGGCGATAGCAATCCTCGCGTTCGACATATGATTTTAAATAAAACGTTATACAGGGTGTCTCAGACAAAGGCGAACAAGGGAAAATTCAAAATTGACGATTGAGATTCTTACTCAACATATGGACCGTTACAGTTTTCTTCAGTCGGCTCTAGGGAGGATCATACACATGCTTTGTCAATAAAAACTTTTTGGTTTTTAGTACAATTAAGGCTTTCTTCTTCTATATATTCACCTTTTTCTCTTGTTCCTCTTTATCTCGAAGCTCCTTCTTCTTGTGCTCCTCCACCAGCTTCTCCAAAACGTTCCACTTGGCCGACAGATCCTCGTCCATGATCGACTGCACCTGCTTCATGTTGCGCATGGCCACCCTGATGCTCCTCGACTTGTCCTCGTTCTCGTCCTCGGAGCTGCTGTCCGAAGAGGAGCTGCTGCTCGAGTCAGAGGAGTGCCTGCGCTTCTTCTTCGATTTCTTCTTCTTCTTCTTGTCTTTGGCGAATGGCTCGCTCGAGTGGCGTTTGTCTTTGCGCTTTTTGCGGCGCTTGGAGGAGTCCGAGTCGGAGGAGTCCTCCTGCTGGACCTTTCGTACCATGGTCTTTTCGCGGTCTTTGAACCACTCCATCTCCCACTGGGGGTTTTGCGATACGAAATTCTGTAATCGATCTCTGGTTAAGTCTGGGCCAGTTTTCTCTCATGAAATCATTATTGAATAGAATAGAATAGAAATTTATTGATTTCATTAGATTAGAATTCCTTATTTTGAGAATGACAAATTGATTGGTCTATGAAACAAGTCAAAAGTTATACAAATGCATTCAGTACAGACATAATAAAATTATTAATTTTGGACATTCAACTGGCTAATTAAGATTCTAAGTAATCCTTAACCGAGTATGATTTCAATGACCGCATGAAACCGCTGATGTGCTCAATCGTTTTTATTGCCTGCGGCAGACGGTTAAAAAATTTAAGTGAACTGTACATTGTACCTCTTTCAGTGGAACTTCTGTTGTGCCTGGGGAACGCATAATCACCTTTATGCCTAGTATTATAAGTGTGGCTATTGTCATAACAGTTGAACTAAACACATGTGTGAAAAGTGAGGTTATATTAGGTTGTAGCCAGAAAATCAGTCCTGATGGGAGCACTCAATGTTCATTTCGACTGAACAACCAAAAGAATCGATTTACAATCAGGTTGAACACCAGAAAAATCAAATGGTCAAGAGATTTTCAAAAATTTCACTCAGAAATTGAGATCATCAAACTGGCGGTCGCAAGACCAAGCCAGCAACGAATGACAGAACAATAATTTTGACAGTGACATCTGATGACAATGCAAATCAAATAGAAATATAAGCATATGTTGATAATATTTATACAAATAGAGTGTATGAAATAGTGATCACATATGATACAAACATGTTTATAAAACAAAAACAGATGCAACAATAGTGACTTCAGGTACATGGTTGAAGAACATTATCCCTCGGTAAATAGTCTACAATTGCAATTTAATTGTTTTATGCACGACCAGGTGTAAATTAGCACTTTACCGCCCGGTTTTGGGAGCGTAGAGCCGTATAGATAACTCGTAATAAGCATCCCTGTATAATTCGGTACATCTGATGTTCTTGTTGTAATGGTTCATTACCTAATATTACAGTTCTTTTGATATTTCAAAAATGCAAACCGAAAATAATGTATCGGTGATGGCACGAATAGACAGCAAATAATATTCTTCTCTTATTTCGAAAAATCCACTGAGTTACCATGATAACGTTGATTCAATCAATATTATATTCTTCACTGCAACCGAGGTAAAGAGGTATTCAAAACGAAAAATCGTATATGCCAGTCGTGCATAAAATGTTGCATGTATGTCGGGCTTGAGTTGCTTTTATGGACCCAGACGTGTTGACATATTAGCTATCGCTCGGGCTCAAATTTACATGCTACGGTCCATAAAAGCCTATTTTACGCCCTTACATGAATAATTATTATATGCTGGAATACACAAGATAATTCTATTTTTTGTCATATTTACATTATTGTGAATATGATGGACACATTTTTATTAATGATATCGGTACCAATTCATATGGGCTATGCGGTGCATATAATATCAGGCCGAGTGAACTAATTTTTCCTGCACATGAGTCCATGTTGGATCATTACTTGATGTAAATATGTGACGTATGTCTGACATTTTCAAAATGTTGGTCTACGGTGAGTCATAGATCAAATGTCAGTTAAAGGTTATTTGTTTGAATTCACCAGTTATATAATCATAATAGGCGAGTACGCAAATATTTTTTCATTTCTTATATAGAGTCATCACTCAAATACCTTTCAATTTCATATTTTTTGAGAATTTTTCGGTCGATTTTTAGGTGCTAAGATCATCAATAACGCCACGGTAATTTTCAAACGGCTAGGGGCAGACCATAGCACTTCAGAAATATCAGTTATACAATATTTCATTAATTCTCAATTGAGTATTGGTAATATTCCTAATTAGCTATAAAAATGTAATTGTCTCAAAATGTTCCCTTATGATTTGTGGCTTATTGCTTACAATGAATTTGTGTAAGTAATAAATATATTAAGTCATACTAGAGGACATTTGAATCGGTGAAAGTGACAACACGGCGCACGACTTGTGGGCGTGGTCTTGTCAGTTCTCAGCATTCAGGACAATGTTGCCAAGTCTCCAACATCTACATGATATTTTTTTATGGAGAAAAAGAAATATTTGGACATGCTGGTTGCTCGAAAAAGTCAAGAATGAATTATGTCATGGGTTCCTCCTATTATGTTTATTCAATGACAGGACTCTTACATCCTTTTGAAAACTTGAATATAATTGGTGACTCGACAACCTTTAAAATAAATATAAGAGTCAATAAATGAAGGTTTTCCTTCTATCAAACATTGTCCTTTAATATTTTTCCATTTAGGTACCCGATCGATTTGAAACATAAGTAGAACATGCAAGATTCATTTTGTTCAAGTGAATGTTTTTAGTTGATTGTTGGAATGAATATATTTTACTATCCATAAACTAGTTGTCTTTGATGATTTTCTGAAGCTTTTATTGGGAGACACTTCACTCCACTCAAGGTATGAAATATATAGATTATAAGAACAATCAAAATTATATAAAACGACAATATTGCATATTTCTGAAATGAAACGAGAACAGCTGAAATAATCTGATACAACCAAATCCTTCATGTAGTATTGTAGATAACATACATTATTACAAGAGCATAATAAAGCCGAATTCACAAATAACCAAAATATCAATCAAATATCAAAATTTTAGCGTGTATTTAGTCTAATAACGTTTTTTATGAAGTTGTTGAGGCAAACCATATCTCTCCTAATTCGTGATTACTTTTCATGTTGGGCTTATAACTAATAATATAAATGAACCACCTAGAGAGGCATGTAGACAATTTGCCCCCATTTCAGAAACTAACTCCAAAGCGCACTGACCATGGTCTCACTTGATTCAAATATTTCAAGGAAATATTAATAAGTAACAGATAAAGAAACGCAATAAAATATATTTATTGAAATTACACAAGGAAGAACTTACATAGTGGAAGAATCGAAGGGAATTCTGATATTCAGTTATCATGAAAATTGAAAGTCAACTACATACCTACCTTACCATATACTCCAGCAACAGTTTTCAAAATGTTACTCACTGTCTTCCTTGGTACTAAGATCTTCGAAGTTCATCAGTAGCATACCATTATCATTGTTTACTTTGAATAAATAGAGTACTTACTTCCAGACACTTCTCCGAACATAAGAAAATTTGAGTTTATGTTGATCATCAGACCTACCGTTAGTTATCACATGATTACATACACGATTTCACACTTCATATATATGTCACCACCTTGTCGAGTCTTATTAGTTGTATAGTTTCTAGAATTGTGAAATGAATTTGTGTAAAAATGGTTAAGTATTCATATAATTTGTTTTCTATATTGAAGTATCTTCCACTTATTATCTGATCTATGGAATGAAATCCAAGCCTTCCTGGAGGACAATCTTAATACAAATAATTGAGCTACCACTGAGCCAATTCTGAAAATATGACTGAGATATAATGATGGAATGCTCGGGAGTATTCCAGTTTCCATTTTCGATTTCCGTCATGAAGGGTCCGTGGGTCCGATATATGGTGGATTTGTACAAATAGTACTTGTGTTTTAGTATGTATTTTAGCTAACTTATACCTTCATCGATGTCTTCATTTCCTTTTCGTTCAACTTCAATATTCTTCCGATCCATTCACTATAACTTTGGTCACTAACAAAATACGTTTCATCGCTTTTGTATGGAATATCACTGCCACTGGTCAATTACGTCACTGATGCCGATGGAGAACTGTGTGGTGTAACATAACTTTCAACAGTACTTATAAGGAAGGATTGCAATAAAGGACTTTGGCAAAAATACTTTACTTGAATACAAAATCAATATTGACAATGTTTTTAAATACTAAAGGTTAAGAAATACATGCAGGAGCAACGGTGCTGATATATACCTGAAAATTCACCGAGTATTTTGCCAGTACTGGTTTGATTCCCAGTACTTGCGGAAAACGCAAGATACTCTGTAGATCACACAAAATATTCTGAAAGAAACACGTATTTGCAGGGAAATTCTTCCATTCTCCTAGAATCTCACAGATTTGCTTTTATAACTAACCCTGAAAATAGTCAAAGCTCGCCCTTACCTCATAGTTTTGAAAGTGGCTTTGCGATTTCAAATGATGTGATGCACAATGCAAGTCCCCAATCCAAACATCACACAGCTTGCAATACCATGATGGGGCAGAAATGAAAAACTGCAGACCTATGAAAAAATCAAATGATAAAACTGGTTCGATGCTCGTACCCATATAAAACAAATACTCTTAGCTGTCCGTACTTTTTTGTTATTCCTCTTTTGCTGTCACCTTACAGTATACCATTAGTTTCCTAGTGAAACACCAATTGAGAGGCAGATGCACTCGGTTTTGCCTCATTTAAATCCATGTACAACTCGAGGAATAGTAGATTCTCAGGGAACAAATAAAGTTAATTGAATATATGTATTTTGAAATATTTTTACAATCAAAGTTGTCCTATTAGTCCCATCACATACTCAACATAATGTAATGGTACCTACTGAAAAATAAGCAACAAATAATCAATAAATGATGAACCAAAATACTCAAATACGAAACTTGATAAATCAACATTTTCCTAACACGTGATTTCAGTGATAAGGATGAGCAAGATCAAAAGACAACCTGTTCATATTTCATCGGCAAGAATTCACATTATCTGGAGAAAGAAGAAGGTGTGTTTTGATTTGTTCTTTAAATCCCCTTTCATATTCTTATCATTCTTGATACTTTTATGGAAATCAATAAGTGTTATTTGAGTTTGCTTAGTTCAGTTTTTATTTTCAATTTGATTATTTCTCGAAGTTTTTTCAATCAAGTTTACGCCTTCGCCAATTGCTATATGGAGTATTTCATCTTGATGTTTGCTTCACTTCTATCTGGAACCCAACAACGTATCTTAGTGCTTTTGGTGGAAATCTTTTCGCGGAATATTTTTTTACCTAGAGTTCCCGAATGTTTGAATTCATCTCGCAAACTTCGGCAAGAAGATGAATCGAAGTGATAACCAGAATAACTTGTTTGGATACGACTATGATAGACAACAAATTAATATTTTTCACAGAGCAATAAGGACAAATACAGAGATGCCTTCCGAATCTAGATTATACACAATGTTTTGTACATGATGATACTCTAGTAAGCTGAGCAATAACATGATATATTTATACTCAAAATATAACTGTCACAAATTTCTAGTTGATACTCCAAAGATTTGTCATTCAATGAACAGAGATAGATTTTATTGACAGTAATATTCCCCAGGAAGAACAGTGACCAAAACTTCCTTCGACCCTTCAAAGAGGCAGTATCCACCCGAAACCCCTTTTTAATTGGTTGGTAAATTAAAACCTAGTTGGTAGGCCAGATGTATAATATTTGTTTATTGGCCCAAAATTTGTCTTTCTGTAAATGGCGCTAATTTATTGAAAACATCGAGAGCTCCAATTATTTCAATAGAATATCTGTCAAAATGGACTATTTTAGGTTGAAGTTTTGAAAACGTAACCTCAGAGAAATTGCAATTTTGATTTGATTGTCTAATTTCAAGTTAGTTGTTGGTCGTTCAACTTTAGTGTTCCAATTTGTACTTCTACAAGAGGTGGTGGCATGTAAATTCTGCCACACTCCTTTATCAAAAATGTCGTGAATTTGACTTATACTTGACTTGAACTTATATGAGAAATGTTTAGGGTAAGAATGATGAATGAATAACTTAGTTTGAAATAGATATCACTAGCTGAAAATGTTGCCGCTAAGGTTAATTTTTGAATTTGTTTTTCAACTGAACAGACAATAGTATACCTCTTCTTGCCCACTAAGTTTTCATTCAGAAAGAGAATGGGGCTGCTCTCTAAGAAGCAATTGGTACATATCCAATCAATTTAAGAAACGTTAGATCAAGAAATATTTGCCTACATCAACAAAAAGTACTGATGTCAATCGTCGGACTGGAAACTTGACCCATCAATTTTGTAGGACAGAATCCCAGTTATATCAGAAGACAAAAAAGGCACCTCTACATCCGTTCATAGCTCTGTGGCATCACTTTCTGAGGACCTCTGTGGAACCACTGCCAAATCGATAATTCAAGAGGATTTTTCGTATAAAAAATCTCATTCATCTCGGCATAAATAGCTTATGATAAAAAATAGCACCATCAAAACATTATAATGCACACATTATAATACACCCATAACATTCAGCACTTATAATCATAAACTCATTAGTTATTGTGAAATACATAACAAAATAAAAAAAAAAGTAGATTGATTAAATATGAACCTGGCAGCACCACAAAGTTTTGTAGTAGGCAAACGATATTAGAGAAAGGTCATTTGTCGTTATTGTTGTTGTGAGATCAGTTTTGGGTGTTTCAGTAACTTATTCAATACTATAGATCTGTAGCAGACTATCTTGTGAACAATTATAGTTCGGCAGTGTAAAATTACTAGAGAAAAATTAGTTACACAGTTCCTAACCTGATATTTCACAGGCAATTTGGTGCAGAGACGGTCTTGTTTGAGGGCATGCTCTTGTTGATGAAAAGCTTGTTCAAAATATTGAAAATATCAGATAACCTCACAACATTATAAAACGTCGTATCATTATGTTACAACACATGACAGTTAGTTTATTAGAAGAAATACACACATTTATAGAAATCCTGATTTATCAGATATCTATAATAATATTATAAATAGGAAAGATTTGATTGGTTTGTTTGTTTGTATGTATTGAATAGGCTCCGAAACTACTGGATCGATTTGGCTGAAAATTGGTGGTACCATTAGGAAATTCAAGATGGCAGATCAAATATATCGGACGAGTTTTGTAATTATGGTCCGATTCAATTAAAAATTGGTGTCTAGGGGTTTTCGGGGTCGGAGATTAGATTCTTTCGCCAGAATTTGAAAATTCGGGCGGAATTTGGAAATTCAAGATGGCGGAACCAATATGGCGGACGAGTTTTGTAATTATAATCCAATTCTTTTCAAAATTGGTACCTAGTTGGCGGATCCAAAATGGCGAATTTTGTCATTAGGATCCGATTTTATTCAAATTTGGTTTCAGGTGGTTCTCGGGGTCGGAGATTATGATTCTTTCGTCAAAATTAGTAAATTCAAGATGACGGACTAATATGTCGGACGAGTATTGTAATTATGATACGACTCTCTTCAAATCTGTTATCTGGGTGTTTTCGGGGTCGGAGATTATGATTCTTTTGTCAAAATTTGGTAGGGGCGGGATTTGGAAATTCAAGACGGTGGAACCAATATACAGGACGAGTTTTTTAATTATATATTGATTCTATTCAAAATTTGTAAGTGGGCGTTTTCGGGATCAAAAATTATGATTCCTTCGTCAAAATTAGGGAATTCAAGATGGTAGATCTAATATTGCGGACGAGTTTTGTAATGGGCTTATATCACAAAAAAATTTTATTTCATAATTCGATAGAACTCACCCAAACTAGCTCACCACCGCAAACCGTTTCTTGCTGTGAGCTCCCTACGTTTTATAAAAAATTATTGAAATCCCCGATTTTTCGGACCTCTGAAAACGAGGCGATGATGTGACGTCAAAACCCTAATACTGAAACAAGACTATTCCAGACAGAGATGAATGATACATGATTTCTGACAAATCAATTCTAACCTAGATTGACTTTTTGCAGCTCCATGTGAAACGGGTCAACAAAGCAATGTTGCTATGTTTATGAAATATATTGGATTATTGTGAAATTGTAATGGTGCAAATGGTTTTGAGATTGAGACATTTCGTTGTCTAGAGATTGTTTATACTCCAATGATTCAACCTACAATCGACAACTCGAATATATTTTTCTGCAGTAGTGGTAGTGGATATCAAAATATATTTCAATATCGATTTCGATTTCTCGGATATTTTGTTTGGATGATATGGCAACAGTAATAAGTGTCAGGAGAGTGTCAGTTTCAACCATATATCTACTATTTCTATATATGGCGCATCGCCTATACGATATCTCAACAAAAATGGGACCAAAATGAGAGGTACTCTTTGAATCTATGAGAACGAAAAGTGAAGGATGGAAACAGCCATATTGATTTGACAAATTTCCTATTATTTTTTCCCTACGTCGGTATCAACGCCTATTGGTCGATTTCATTACCTATAGAGACAGAAATGGGTCCCGCTTTGAGGACAGCTATGATTCATATATCAGTAGTAGATATATATGGTTTATATATGGCGAGATGGGGTTTCTACGTCATAAGAGGGTCTCCGTTTTCAGAAGGTATTATCATTTATGTCCAAAAATAAAACATTCCAGTTAATTTTTCGATCGAATTAGGTCGCCAATCATTATTTATGTATAAAAGGATCATTATAAACATGGTTTGAGTTAAAAGTTCTACTAAGGTGTACACGCCCATTATGTTCCGACTCTATTCAAAATTTTCATCAGGGGTTTTAGGAGTCGGATATTATGATTCTTTCATCAAAATTGGGGAATTCAAGTGACCTAAAAAGGAGTTGAAATAAATCGTAGTTTGAAAAACTAAAGAAACGCGCTTTTATAGATAGCGAAACTAAAAGTATAAAATAAATAATAAAAGTGTTTTAAGGAATATTGAACTGAAAAAATATATTATAGAAATTATGTATATAGCAAAACAACGTTTGCGAGATCTGCTAGTATGTAATGTGATATATCTATGGAGAATATCAATGTTCTGGCAATGATTCCGCAGAGTTATCCCCACCATTCGCAATTTCATTCATCTATCCGTGTTTGGCGTTTAGCATTGTTGGCGTATACTTTCTAATGGTTCATGAATGAATCGCGTTGTCTATCTAATACTATTCAGTCTGAGGTCCCTACCGACCAACATAAAAATTCACCTTTGACCAACATAAAAATTCACCTTTGATAGGGATACGCCGCTTAGGCGCCTCCTCGTTCGAAGGCAACACCGGCTCGGCCGGCAACTTGTGCCACGGCGTGTTGTCCACGTCGTTCTCCTTCGCCAGCTCCCTGTGCTTCTTGTCCTGCAGGTGCAGCAAAAAGTCCTTGGCCGTCTCGGGAAACTCATCGCACAGCCGGCACCAGTGCAGGCCGGTGTCGTAGTGCACGTAGCAGTACTTGTCGTGATCGTTGGGCGCCGCCTCCGGGGACTTGCTCTTGTGCTCGGAGCGAGTTTCTTCACGGGGCGACCGTTTGGGTGACTCCGGTTCGCGCAAGGAGGCCTCGAGATCGGCTATCGAGCGGTTGTCTTTGATGATGCTCGAGAGCATCTCGATCACGTTATGGATGGCCTTCATTTTGCCCTGGATCTCGTCCTGGAAGCGAAATTACTCAAATCCGTATTGACCAAACATTTCGGATGTCAACGACACGCCATAACTTCAGAATATTCGGTGTATCAAAATTGAATTTCATATTTATACAGAGAAGTGCACAATAAACGGCCAGTACTGTAACTTCTGAATCATTCGAGATCGGATTTCGCAAATTGGTGTGAAGCAACTAAGGTACACCGGGGTGAGTGTAAATTTGGGGCAAGTGGAACCCAGGCTGATTATCATTACTTTTTTGTTTATAAGGTGACCCTGTCTATCGCATAATGAACCTACTCATATCCCCTGAATGCTCAGTGATATATCAAGCTAACAACACACGAATTACGGTTCAACCTTGCCGATATTTTGGATAGTGTCCATTAATGTCGCATAACGAACTAACACGTGTTTGTTGTTGGTGTACGTGAGCTTCAATAATTTATGAATATCTTCAAAGTGTTTGAAGTGAGTAGCTCAAAAACAATACTTCTTTGTATTTTGATGGTATGAAGGACGTATATTTGTTCACATGGAGGAAAAGACATTACACTTGCCCCTTGAAAATAACGTATGGGGGAAAGTGTAACCAAGTGTAACCTATGTTAGATTCCACTTGCCCCTGTTGAATCGTGCATCAATCAAATATTCGCTATCTTCGAATGCAAAGTCAATAAATTTCCTTCCAGAGATTGTGCGTAACTACGTGCCACTGAAATACTCCAAGGACAGTCTCAGTTACACTTGCCCCATGGATATGAGGCAAGTGTAACCTACGTACCGCTATAATAAAAAAAAATGTAGATCAAAGATTTGAGCAGTCATCTCCTTGTACATTTCCAGATCCTTTAAAGAATAATTATCCATCAGTATGCTGACGTGATGGGAACGAGAATGACTCATTATTATTTTAGTTTATAGCGGAGCTATTGAAATTCGCCGTTCCACTTACCCCGGTGTACCTAACACCAAATTGCTCATTGATTGACAAATCAATCTTCGTTCTATCACTTCCGGTTCCACCGGAAACGATCCTAACTTTTGATTTTTAAATAGGACACCTTGTATTTTATTCCATAATCGGTTAGGGTTTATCATAACGAATTCAACGATACCGGATTTGCTAGGGTTATTTCCAACGATTAAGAAGATATTCGCGTTATCGCAATATCGAAACTTCTTTCTCTGTCCCACTTATTGAGAAAATGGAAACTCAGAACGCGAATATCTTCGTAGTCGTTTGAATTAACCCTATTAAACCCGGTATCGTTGGATTCGTCATAAAGAGATTATTATGGAACCGATTATGGAATGAAATACAGGGTGTCCCATTGAAAAATCAAAAATTAGGGTCATTTCTGGTGAGACCAGAAGTGATTGAACAAACATTGTTTTGTGAATCAATAGACGATTTGGTATACTTGCTACCCACCAATTTCCTACATCCAATTTATAATGATTCAGACGATACAGTACTGGCCGTTTTTTATGCACTTCCCATGTTTTATCACTTCCGGTTTCACCAGAAATGGCTCCAATTTCGAATTTTTGTATGGAACACCTTGTATATTATAACATTTTTGAATTCCTGATACAATAAGCAATTGGACTGATTTTCTATATAGAATCATCACCCAAATACCTTTCAATTATATATTTGTCAAGAAATTTTCGGTCGATTATGCCAAGGTGATTTTCAAACGTCACAATTTCGAAAAGGATGGCAGACCATAGAACATTTGCCACATGTTGAAATGCAATTGAGTACTCCAGAAATATAAGTTATTCAATAGTTCATAAATTATCAATTATGTATTGATAATATTCCTAATTAGCAATGAAAAAATCAATTGTCTTAAAATTATTCCTCATGTGTTATGGCTTATTGCTTATAATACATTCGTGTAAATAATAATTATATTAATTCTCACTAGAGGACATTCGAACTAGTAAAAGTGGCAACACGGTGCACGAATTGCTTTGCCAGTTCTTAGCCAGCACAATGTTGCCAAGTCTCCAACATTTACATGATATTTTTTTATGGAGTATAAGAAATATTTGGACATGCTGGTTGCTCGAAATAGTCAAGAATGAACTATATCATGGCAGCCTCCCATTATGTTTTATTCAACGACAAGACTCTTAACATCTTTTCGATAACTTAATTATAATTGGTGACTTGACAACCTTCATGAGTGGGAATGGAAGATTATCTGACTTATAACGAAACAGCATACAAAAAATTAGAAAACTAAAATCATCCTCCTCCCCAGGCATCGATGGCATCACTGTCCTGTTTCTAAAAAGATGCAGCGAAAATCTAGTCTATCCACTAAGAATAATTATGAACCGTTCATTCAAAAACTGCTGCTTACCAAATAGCTGGAAGTTAGCATCTGTAACACCAATATTCAAAAAGGGTAACAAGCTCGACCCAAGCAACTACAGACCTATAAGTCTCACTTCAGTGGCTTGCAAAATCATGGAATCAATAATAAGTGATGAATTAAAAACTTTCCTGTTATATCACAAAATAATTCCGCAACAACAACATGGTTTTGTTCCAAATCGGTCAGTTAAAACAAACTTATTGGAGTGCGTGAATGTCTGGTCAAAACATTTGGACATTAATACCCCTATGGATATTATTTATCTAGACTTTTCTAAAGCATTTGACCGTGTCCCTAGAAAAAGACTTTTGTGTAAATTAGAACATTTTGGTGTACGCGGGCTACTACTGACGTGGATCCAGAATTTTCTAGAGAACAGATATTTTTGTGTTCGGATAGATGATTGCTTCTCTGACCAATATCCTGTATTGAGTGGAGTTCCCCAAGGATCTGTACTTGGTCCTCTGTTGTTTTTGTGCTACACATCAGATTTATCACAAATTTTTAAGTCAACCTGTTCTTTTTACGCTGATGACACAAAACTTTACAACAACACAAAATCACAACATATATTGCAAAATGACTTGATTGCCTTATACAACTGGAGTTGTGAGTGGTTACTACCACTGAATATTGATAAATGTGTTGTACTTCACCTTGGTAAAAATAATCCTAGACAAAATTATACCATCAATGATGAGCAATTAGTTAAGGTTGAATGCCACAATGATCTTGGAGTTACCATAACCAGCAATTTAACGTGGTCACAACATATTTTAAACATATGCAAACGAGCGAATACAAAATTGTACCTCTTGAAAAAAGTTTTTCCGAAAACGTCACCTGAAACGTTCAATAACCTCTACAAAGTTTATGTTAGGCCGATCCTAGAATATGGAGGACAAGTGTGGAGCCCGGAGTTGATCAGAGATCGTAATGTGTTGGAATCTGTGCAACAACGAGCAACCCGAACGTCCTTCGGTCTCAGAAGACCATCATACCATGAACGTTTGAATCAGTTAAGCCTGACAACATTCGAAGATCGAAGACATCGTGGAGACTTGATCCTAACTTATCGGATTCTTCATGGATTTCTACCCTCACTGAGTGATATGTTCCAGATAAACGATGATACACGATTAAGAGGACATAATTTCAAACTTAAGAAGGAACATTTCAGGTCGTCAAATCGGCAGAACTTCATAGTAAATCGTGTTTCACACCTCAGCCCATTATCACTTTTTAATAATAATAATAATAATAATAATAAACTGGCGTCACCATTTATTCGACGAATCGTCAAATGGCGGCCATGACGTTACGTTAGAAATGAGCTCTGGAATGTTTTTTAACAACGCATAAACTCATTATTTACATTAAAAAAGTTCAGTATTGCAAAAATTAATGTAGGTTTCTGACGACACTCGCTCATTCTAGATCCGAATATGCCATTTTCAGGAATTTTTACGCCTACTTCATTTTTTTAGTGAAACTTTTAATATTACATCTAGGTGGCCAGATCAGACATAAACTTATCTAAGGAGCTCAGGTGATGTCAGAAAATCGCAAAGATTCAGTGACCAGTGTGATAGATAGGAAGCGGACAAGTTGACAAAATTACATTTCCGTGTCTAACTAATATTTTTCAAATGGCAACCATTATCTGCCAAGCACTTTCCGAAAAAATTATTTTTTGAAGAATCCAATTTCCAATCTAATTTATTTGAGATTTGATTGAAAAGAAGATCCCAAATTCAATATAACTAAGGAAAATACTGGATATTTATTTATTCACATTTGTCAAGGATTGCCATGGTGCTTAATATTTTGTTATTTTTTTCCAGTGTTCTTTGGAAAACAAAACACTCAGGTATCCACTTTTCACTCTGATTATACATTATTTTGACAGAAAATTAAACTGGAATTAAACGGAAATGAAGAAACTTTTACTGTCTGCTCATAAAGGTCACTGTCATTACTTGAGTGTTTAGTTTTCCAAATAAAAGTAAGTGCACAATATTATGCACCATATGGCTATCCATGGCACACTTCACAAATGAATATGATTAAATTAAATATCCAGTATTTTTCTTCGTAATATTGAATTTCTGTTCTAGTCGCTGAGACTTTGCAATTATAATTTTCTGACATTACTAGAGGTCCTTAGATAACTTCATGTCCGATTACGGCCACCTAGATGCAATATTAATAGTTACTTGGGAATAATGTCATATTCTGATCCAGAATTGCCACAGGAAATCGAAAATATTAAACATACATGGTGTTTCTTTTAAAAATTCAAAACCGGAGCCATTTCCGGTGAAACCAAGTAACCAGGAAGTGAGAAACATGCGAACACTTTTCTTTTCACATTCCATATACCCCTACGAATTTCATTTCGATACACGGAATATTCTAGAAGTTATGGCTTGGCTAATTGATTCGTTGACACTCGGTATTAAAAGGAGACCAATCAGAGCGATTTGGGCAATGGCAGTAAATTCATATCACTGATATTGGCGGTGGTAAATTCGAATATCGAATGTTTTCACATCATAGTAAACACTAGCCAATACCCTCAATTTGTGCGGAATCAAGACTACAAAAAATTTTCGGCCGAGAGCATCGTTCACGGCCGATCCTGAACGAAAAACATCATTGGAATAGCGAATCACTATCGGTCTCAACAAGGAGACTATTTTTTCAAAAAATTCTAACCTTATTTGGCCTAAATGAACCTTATATGACAGTTTATTTTTCGGAAAATCACTTGTGAAAACAGAACAATCAAAACCCAGGTCGCTGAAAAAAGAATTTATTTATAGTGTATGATGAATTGATTGTTGTCAACAGGTCGTGAAAACAAATTCTGAATTGAGATAATCCAATCATGATTCTGAGAATATTCCTTTTTAAGAAATGAGTTGAGTCCACACAAGGTTGCCCACACATGCATTATTTATTGATTGATGAAATAAACCTCCGGTTTATGCACTTCAATCTTCTCCTGTTTTACAATTCCTTGATTTCCGCCTACTTCGATAAACATAACATGGCGTGGGTGAATCTCGCTAGTTTATTCTGGTGCTGTACCAATTACAGGCATCAATGTGACAATGTGAATTGAGACCGAATTGTGACCAATGAAGAAAGGGGATACATTTTGAGATTTAGCTGCATCAAGGTTGGTAGAACTGATGTTGATCATAAGCTCTACCTGCCTCGAGCCGCACTAGCAATCACGCCATCTAACATTCAATATGTGAATCCCACGTCATCGTCTGAAATTCAATTGTTTATATCAAGAACCAATCTGACGAAACAAATGAAGAGTGAGCGCACCAGAGGTTTATTTCATCAATATTTATTGCACCATGTCTCTAGACGTTTCTCAATATGCAGGCGCTTCTTAGATTGTTCTGATTGGTCTATAGGAATCGCCTATACATACGTTTGGGCAAAATGGATTGGTGCATCGAAATGGGACGCGAATCAGCTGAAGTAAATTTGTTAGTGTCAGAGTAGAGCCACTTAACAGTCAGCAAAGATGTACTTTCTCTGGCTAGGCAGAAAGATTGTTGCTATGCAAAGTTCAAGTAATTTGAATGGAATATTGGTAATCAAAATTGACACTGAACGGGTGAACACAAAGGAATTGTCAATAAAAAATTACACAAAATGGGTTTACTAAAATTTAGAGAAAAAAATATATGTTTCACATGGAAGCAAAGTCGATTGACTGCCTTGTAACGCACGATGTTCCACAAAAACTATAGGAATTCAGAAAAAGAGAGAAACTAAAAGTTATTACCACAATAGCTCATAAAATGAACGAAAATGGTAAATAACGAGAAAAAAACAACTACTTTCCTGACTATATGCCATGCAGAACAATGGATTACATCCTCCCGAAATCTATGCAATAATATATAGACGTATAGACGAATAAAATTGCAAGTGTTTCCTTCCTTCCTGAACGCCGAGCTGCGCCTAAGTGGTTCAGGAACGCATGACTACCTGCAGACCGGTTTCAAGCTGTTGGCTCTCATCAGTGCAGGGCTGTCCCAGATAGATTCTTGACCGCTATTTGGTGTAAATCTGACCCAACGTAAACGCATCTCAGCATTTATACCCTACGAGGTGTTCAACGTCCGCGAAATGAACGCGAACGCCACCTGGCAAGGAAAGAAACACTCCAAAACAAAATTCCATCTCAGGTGAAATGGGAGTGACTGGTTGCCCGACTGGCGTATTTTAAACTGGGAAAAAGCCAAATACTCAAAGTGGAATGAAATGGTCACAAAAAGAGAGAGTTGGCACCAGCGAGAAGGTGAGGGCATTACCAAACCAAATTACTGGCGCACTGACGTCACACGTCTTGTTGCCATGTAGATTCGTTTCAATTCGGCCGTTTATTTTGGCTTCTTCAATAATTTTTCATATATGATGAATTGAAAAAAGTGTTTCAAATTATTCCAGAGCCATATATTTTGAGATATATTTTTTCTAGAAATTACTGGAAAGGCTCATTCCTACATGATTCCATTAACTCACCTGCATTTTTTTTACTGATGAGGATATGATATCCGAAATGAGTTTTACGGAAGTCATATAACCTGTTTGTGAGATATATAATTCCCATATCACTGATAGAAATGATTTTTTTTTTGAAGTTTCAAGCTCATCAAGATCAGAGTTCATGCAAGTATATTTCTTCTATACATTTCAATTTTCATTTCAATACTAAACCTATTGGCAAGTTATATTTTTATATTATAATACATCATATTTATTCTATTTGATTTGAGAAATAATGTTAATTCTCAATTTCAGAGGATTTTGATTTTTCATGCTCTCTTCTTGGTTATTCAACAGATATAATTCAATGTTCGACGTGGCAAATAGCCAGGAAAGTAGTTGTTTTCTGTTGAATATTCAGAATGATATCATATGCATATCTTTATATGAAGGAGAATGCAAATTCTCTACTTCAGAAGATTTTGTTTTCAAATTCTCATCGTGTGTTCAATAGATGTAATTCAATATTCATTGTGGCATACAGCCAGGAAAGTAGTTGTTTTCTGTTGAATGAACCAAGAAAGAATTAATATTTTCATCACATGGAGAATGCGAATTCTCAATGTATTTCTTTATATACTTATCAATTTTTTTGTGTTCATAAATATATCTGAGAATATTCCTTTTCAAAACTCACCTGCAGCTTGTCGTTCTGTCGCAAAATATTGGCCAGCTCGTGATCGTCACATCTTCCATCTCCGACCAGCTCATGCTTCTGGACTCGCAACTGGTCCAGTTCATGGCGCAAAACCAAAGCCTTCTTGACGTAATCTTCGCGCTGCTTAGTCAACTGTGCTTTCTGCTGCTGCATCTCTTGGGCCACTGCTACAAAAAAATATTTTAGTAGAATAACAGAAAAGTAAGGCTGAAGATAAAGCGAATATGAATCTGATTCGTTTCGACTGTGGGATACTGGTCGAACACGATTTTTTTAACCTTCGTGACTGGAAGCTGGCTGGCCAATACTGCTGACTGATTCCCTACGGAAAAATTGTGTTAAGATGTTGATTTCTTATAGACATCCAGAAACAGTATAGCATTAAACTAAAGAGAAATCCTGGAATTATATTAATTAGTGATCAGCTAAAATGAATATCACATTCAGTTTTTTCATTTCATGTTTCCTACAGAAAGGGTCCAGTTGTTTCAATCCTTGATATTAATAGATACTAATAAAACATATCTGTGCGCCAAAAATGTTAGGGATCCAGAAAGTTTACTCATATGATTTCAACTAATCAACTCTGCTCCCAGTTCGACTTGGCCTCACATTCCCCTACCTACTGATTCAAGTAACCTGATTTGAAAGATTTTGGAGTTATTCACTTTCTAATAATTCACATGTCTGATAAATATAAATAAGGCATTGATTATAGAAACTTGGAATCAAAATTGTTATCAAGTAGATGGTACTTTGAATTGGTGCACCTTTCTTCTGGATACATGAGTTAAATTGTATCCTGACTATAAATGAACCAACTTACCATCTTTCTGAGTTGACCCATATCCAGAAGAGTTCCAATTTGATGAAGAACTAAATCCTTCAGTTGGTGTAGATTGTTGGGCAGGCTAAAAATGAATTATTACCATTCAAAAACACGCTGTTCAAAAGCGGGTTCAAGTATCATCAGACATAAATTTAGTGGATCACATTTTGAAAACATTAGATCATGAAGTCATAGATAGAAAGATTTTTATTGATCATGTTACATACATCCCTACTAATATTATAAATGTGAATGTAAGTTTGTTTGTTGTCCTTTCAGGGCAAAACTACTCAACTGATTATCATTAAACTTTGTTTGCATATTCCTAGATGTAATAGAAATAGTCATAGAAAACATTTTATTAAAAAAAATATATATTTTTCACGAGGGTAAAAATATTTATTAAGGCAGATATGAATGTTGGTCAAAACATTTTGATATCTAGTAACTTGATATCTTATTGACTATTGCATGAACTGTTTAGAAATTTTCTATAGTTGATCTTATATTGTTCTGTCACTTAGTGTGGATTTATGCAGCATCATTTAAGATGTATCATGTAACAGTTATCATTTTACAATTAACAATTATAAGTTGAATTTCATATTTTCCAATGACTGTGTTTATGCAGACATTTAACAATTATTATTTATCATGTAACATGTAGAATGTTGGCCAACTTTTAGCTTCTCACATTAAATGAACCAGATTTTCCTATTTATCTTGGATTGGTCCACCTGGTAATGATATTAACCTAAAAATTAAATGTCATACCATCAACAGCATCATCAGGACAAAAAGCGCTTCTGCCTCTTCCATTTCAGGAAACAAATGTTTATATGTTTATAACATTTGAGAATGTATTATTTTTTTCACATAAAAAAGGAGGGTTAGGTTGAAAGGACTGACTTGTGCACATGCATATAATTTCTTCTTAAATGTTAATTTGGTCTGCATAGATGGTACAATTTTCGCTACTTGTTACATGATAAATGTTAATTGATAATTGTTACATGATACATGTTAAATGACGCTGCATAAATCCACACTTAGTCGCTTTTAATGTAGCCCGTTTTGTTCACTGAGGAACCAGAATTTCATGCCACGCGCACCAGGCCATCATTTTAACACTATGACACAAAATATTCATACAACACTTGGATACAAAATATCCAACAATCATACATGAAATTCTATACGTCGGTACCTTAGGTATTAATTGTTAGAATACGTCTTTTGGAACTCGTAAGTTTCGTGTTATTTTGAGGTTGAAATGAAAATGACAAATATCTAACCTAATATCAGGTGGGCACTTCGAAGGCCAAATTCATTACTACATGGGAGATACCCTCAAGAAAATGTTGCTATTCAGGGACTTGACCACGAATGACATTGACATTTGAAGACGCAGGACATAACATGAAGTTATTGTCATGTTGTAGTCATCTAGTGGCAAAGCTCTAAGGTAGGATCCAGAGATCGCGACACACACTGTATGACGCTGCCATCTATAGTCACACGTACAGACCGAGAGTCCTGCTGACAATTGGGGCAACTCTGTTCATCCTGGATCTCTTAGGTATGAGATCTAGCAATTGACATTTTAGCCTTATGGGCAACCAAAATTCAGATGCCAAGAGTCGATTCCATATGGATGTAGCAAATTAATTCAATAAAGCATGCTTTCAGTTTTTGAAACTTCATTGTATGTAGTAATTTTTAAATTCTGAATAACATTGATTCAGTTCTATTGGAATGTTTGATATTCATTTAAGAGCTTCAACGAGAGCAACCGCGGGTAAAAGCTTGTATAGTACATGGTAAAACTACAATATGATGTGCTACGACGCCTCTTACTATACATAACTGCGAGTAAAACAATTGCTCGCAGTCTGAGCTCGCAGTTATCAATTCGCCCGAGTCGCAATGATCATTAATGGTGTGAGTATAGACTCGCAATGACATGCGCAGAAAAGACACGTGAGTAGCACACCATATTATATTTCCACCATGGTAAAAGTATGTCAGGTCAAGTCAATGAATATTAAGCTACTGAAGATAAGAAATGAATAAAATAAAACAAAATCTGAATGATACTTTAGCACAAAATAAGAAAATCTAAAATATATAATTATAACATCCACATATAATGTGGTTGATATGTATTCCTTGATTGAGTAGAAACACGAATCAATCAACACTTGTTCGTTTACTTTTTCAAATTGTATGGGTAGTAGTTGTATGTAGTGCTCGGGTAGTTTATTGAATAATTCAACGTTTATCTCGTTTTCCTAATGGCATACTGTTATTTTGATTAAATGGTATTCAGATGACAATTGAAAATTCGATGCTAACAGTATCCGTCCGTTAAGATTGTTTAACGATGGCCGTCAACTGTTCCACAACGACAGGATACAGGATGTTGGGATTTTTCTGTAGAATTGCGAGGTACGTGGTTTTTTCTTGCCTCGGACTCGAAATGTAATCTTTCAGCGAGATAACGAAAAGTTTTGAAGGACACACGGTTGATAGGCAAATAACGGATTTGGTTGTTATAATCCTCGGCTGTGCCTCGGATTATAATATTCAACCTCATCCGTTATTTGCTACACATCGGCTTTGTAACGTTAATAACCATTTTGAAGACGTAGTTAGTCGGAGTGCTGATTTTGCATCTTCTTACAATTTCTGGTGTGATGTGAATGAACATTGCTATAGTAACTGGATTTTTGTAATTTTTCCGCATATAAATGAGACTTTGATGAATGTAAATTGATGAAAGATCCAAAATATTGAATTGCTTGAAATAAGGCCTGCAGGACACTCTGGGCCCAACTAGGGATGCCGATTTGTTCAAATATAAATCGAATTTGGAATCGATTCGAATCGGAACCCTAAAAAATCGATTAAAAAAAGATGGAGGTAAAAATTAATCGATTCTCAAAATTTGAAAAAAACATTGTTTTTCTTCAGACTAGGTATCATTACGAGATAACTTGAAAAATATTATCAAGAATGCAAGGAAAAAGTATAGAATTTTATGAATAATGATAAAATATAGGAATAAGTTCCCAATAACGAAGAAACATAAGAAACATAATTATTATATTTTTTCAGTCACAACGATATGAGAAGTTAGAGATCGATCCTCGTAAACAAATGATCAATTGAATGTGTTGCATTTTAGGCGAAAAACATCGATCTCTGAAAAATCGATTTTAGAATCGGCATCCCTAGGCCCAACTCCAGCAATGATCCTGACCTGACAGCCGGTTTCTGATCTACGAAAGCTCTACTCACATGGGACGAGTTGCCCCACATGACAGGTGTGAATGAAAGAGAGAGAAATATGATATTTTCATTTTAGTATCTTCAACAGAAATATTTTGCTAGTCAATCATTCAATCATTTACATAGCAAGTTTATATAACTGTTCCACTGAGTCAGCGCCTGCTTCAATTCAAGCCTGCATGCTGAAAATATCACATCACAACAGAGGTAGGCTCATGCTGATCTTCTTATGTGAAGTTCAACAGTTCTCTAGGAATAATTTTTTAGGCACAAAATGAGCTTTAGAAGCTTGTGTGTGATCACATCAACAAAAGATTATTCACCAATATACAATCTGAATGTATACAATATATGCAATATTTATGTCAAACTAACAGCTAGATATTGGGTTTGTTTTTCAAAATCCAGGAGATTTTATTTTTAATTTTTTTGAATGGTTTGCCTTGGAGTTCATTTGGTAGTATGTTATAAATTTTCGGCCCTATTTAAAATAAACTTCGCTGAATAGTTACATAAGATGTAGTAGCTACAATTACATTTTCATTTGTTACTGATCTAGTTGTTATAACATAATTAACTTTCGGTACTTACTCAAAGTGAAAAAGTGGATATGTTGTTGTTGTTTGCAGAATGTTCAAGAAATTCAAGGAATGCTGCTGAGTTGTATGCTCAGAGATATCCCAATCGGCAACATCCATCCCATTAGTATTTTCCGCATGTTGAGAATCGTTTTAGGCAAGAGGGAAATCGAGAGGCAGAACAGAGGTTTATCATAAATAAGAAGACTGAGATTTATGTTCTTGCTATGGTTTAGGTTGACTAAACGGCAAGAAAAATATTGAAAAAGCACGGATATCGAGCATTTAAATATCAGTTACAACAACATTTGTATGCTGACGATGGCGATAGACGAGTAGTGTTTTGTGATTGGTTGCTTCAAAATCATAGAGTTAACCCAAATTTTATTAACTTCATTCTATTTTCCGGCGAATCACAATTTACAAATAATGGCTTGTTTAATGAGCAAAATTCTCGGTACTAGGCCCGACAAAATCAACAACAAATTTGTCCAATCGCAAATAAATTAGTATCGTTAGATTCGTCACAATACTTTTTTTTCGGGTAGTCCTTACAAAAGTAAATGAATTATTATCCATGGCACACTTGACAAAAGTAAATAAATTATTATGAAGTATTTTCGTCAGTGCTATTTAATTTATGTTCTTATTTGTAATCCAATCGCAAATAAATTAGTATCGTTAGATTCGTCAAAATATCCTATTTTCGGAAAGTGCTTGTCAAAAAATGGTCGCCATTTGAAAAATAATAGTTAGACATGAAAATGTAATTTTGCCAACTTGTCTTATTCATATCTATCATACTTGTCACTAAAACTTCGCGATTGTAATTTTCTTATATCGTCTAAGGTCCTTAGATTAGTTTACCTCCGATCATGGCCACCTAGATGTAATTTCAAAAGTGACGCCGAAAAAATTAAGTAGGCATACAAACTTTCGAAAATGTCACATGCTGATCTAGAATTGTCTCAGAAATCCAAAAATGTTACACTATACAGGGTGTTCCATTCAAAAATTTAGAACCGGAGCCATTTCCGGTGAAACCGGAAGTGGCCGGGAAGTGAAAAATATGTGAAAACTCTCCTCTTCACATACCATTTACCTATACCAAATCTCATATTGATACACCTTATGGTCTAGAAGCTATGACATGTCTAATAGATTCGTTGACACCCGGTATATATGATGAAAAGTATTGACCCCAGCACAGTGCCCTGTGGCACACCACACTCCACAGAACAAGGATCACTGAGACATTGGCTAATTTCAACTTGTTGATGCCTGTTGTTTAGATATGATTTGAAAAGATCATTTGGTATACCTCTGACACCTATTGGTTTGTTCAGTAGAATGTGGTGTGACACAGTATCAAAGGCTTTGGCCAAGTCCAGAAGGATTGCAAGAAATTTTTTGTCATCCTTTAAACTTTTTGTAATCTGTTCAGTTGCTTCAAGTATAGCATCTTCTGTGTTACAGTTCTGTCTGAATCCAAATTGAGTTTTTGATATCAGATTATTTTTTGCTAGGAAGCTATTCAATCACAGTTTTATACATTGCTTGTCAGAGCAATTGGTCAGTAGTTATTGATAAGTTTCTTTGAGCCAGATTTATGTGAGGGAACTATAACTGTAGTTTTAAAATTTTCTGGAAATATGCCTGTATTAAATGTGAGATTAATCAGATGTAATAGAGGTTTTTTTGAGTTTCAGTGCCAATTTTATCTTGGCCACTTGATGCATTATTTTTAATTATTAATTACAGCAATAAGTTCTGTGTCTCCAGTTGTGTTTAGATATATTGGTAAAAACTTCATCTATCACAATGGAATGATACAATACAATTCACTACCAAATGAGTTGAAGTTGATTAATAGGATTGAAAAATTTTAAAAGGAATTCAAGAATCAACTACTCTTGTTATATTGACATCTTACCTCATTTTTATAGTTTTTTTTTGTACAAATACAATATTTTTCTATTGGGTACCTAACAGCTGAGTCAATTAAGAATCATTTTCAGTTGAATTTAAAAAAAAAGATTTCTTCTTGTGTGTGAGTCTTATTTTACTGTTTTCTTCATTTTATTTCATCAAATATATTCATGTATTCACCATGCTCCTTGCTATAAACAAATGTTGTTTCTTGGGAATAATAAAGTTGATTGATTGATATATAAGGAATTACTGGGCACCCTCATATGTCTTTTATCTATAAAGTTATTCTCTGCAGGAGGTTCAATTTTATTTGCCAAATGCTTACCAACATTACAGAAGAATTTATAAAATTCATTTGCTATATTCTTGTTGTTTATTTCTTGTCCCACATACTGTTTATTACTTCCTTAGGTGAGTAAGTGTTTGTAACTTATATGACACTTTGGACACTTCTATTGAGTTTGTTAGATATTACCTATATTTCAAATATTTATCTAATGCCTGTGCATTATTATGATTCAATGTAGTGTATCTTGTTCTCTAATGGAGTTTATAATTCCTTGGCTATTCGAAGGATTTATTTTTCTGTTCTTGCATTTTACATAGACTAGTGGCATTGTTAATGTGATTTTGTGATATAGAGATAAACTTTTCCGAGTTTGAATTCACATCATTACTATTTGTTACTTCATAAGTTGAGGAACATGTTTTATGTTGAATACTATTTGATATATTTTGACTCACTGGATAAGATATTCCAAGTTGAGTATTTGCTCTCTGGGTATGAGATATTTATTTTTCCAATAAAACTAGACAATCCTCACCTGATTAGCATACTGCCCATAGCCTTGATAATTATTGTAGTTACTCCCATAGCTCTGTGGATACTGTGTGTAAGCACTTTGGTATCCCGAACTGGGATATTGAGAAGACTTATGAAAAAAAGATGAAATAAATTACAATTCTTACCATAACATGAAATGAAACAATGTGCTCAACTTTAGAGGATGTGAATCAGGGAGTTTTCAGAAATATTTGACAGTGTGTCCACTTGGAACCATTTAAAACTTGAAGAAACAATTGAATGTTATTGCTTCAAGGCATTGACTAGAATCAGTAGAATCTTTGATGTTCAGAGGGGGTAAAATAATCAGTACTAAGTATTTGTTGAGCTGACCAGATAATTTCCCAATCCTATGATTTGTACCTTCATTCTCCTGGGAAATGAGAATCATTCTCTGCTTGTTGAATAATATACTACTGAAGCATGGGCTGAGGGTACACTGCCATTTTTGTTCACAAGACATGGATTATATTCACACAGCAATATTGAAAATACTAATAAATGTCATCCAATGATGGAATATTCTTTCAACATCATGTTTTGCTAGGACTGCCAAAAAACTTATTGGATTTAATATTCCATATTGAATAATAGTTTCATTAAACTGTTTTGAAAAATCAAGATATAATTCAAGCAATAAGTACCTAGATACATGATACATTCAATCACTTGATAAGCTCTGCTGTGTAAATACTATATAATTGAATAGTAGTAGGGTTGAAACCAAAGTTGAACCATTGTTTGAACTATTTCAAATATTATAGGTGCCTGCTAAATGCTCAAAGAAAATATAACATGGACAAATCTACTCACATTGTTATAGGACATGTCAATATTGACTACTATAAAAAAATATGAACTGATAGGTACAATCAAAATTGTTTCAGTTTAATCTAAAAAATAAAGAAAATAAATCAGACTGATGTATTGAATTATATTCTTTTGTGTGCATTTTCACTCACATTCATGCGATTCATATTATAGAATCTAGATCCGTCACAAATATTCCAAACAATACAGAACACGTTTCAAAGTTTTCTGAATGAAAGGTTTACTGATAAATACTCCAAGTGGTTTAGCCTGGAGTAAATTGAATTTTTCATACAAATCAAAACACTATTTCAAGAGATCAAGCGTTGTTTGAGATTATTTGAATCCACCATTTTGGTTTTAGAAACAGAGGAGCAAACAGAGCAACAACTCGTGGCAACAACGCAACTCCAGGGGTGCGTTCGAGTCACAGAACTCATGTCATCATATTATAATATATGAGTTCTGTGGTTCGAGTACTTACTCTGTGACGTGTGGAGTAGATTTAGTGTTAGATCGTGTACATTTTGCTCTAGGCATGTTCTTTTTTACACCAAGTTTTCATCATTGATGGAAGTGACGTCACTCCCTGATGCATCGAAGTTGGAATCATCGGGGCCGCGATTCTTGACGGTGATAGAGTAGAATGTTCCCTGGGGAGCGCTCCCCGATTTGTTTCTACTCCTTCATAGCAAACCAAGAAGTTCGTATTCTTGAGCAAGAGGGAGGGAGCAAAATCATAGCTCCCCGATAGACGGTGTTGCCAAGTGTTGCCAAAGGTGACGACCAATCATATATGATTATTTCTTGACATTTTGACATTCTACAGACAAGGTTAAGGGTGAAGGAGAACGTTGAATGAATATAATTTTTTCCGAGTTATTATTTATCATTCGAGAAACATTTTCAAATTGGTCATGAGGTGAAAATCACACCTCGCCACCTGAAGATATAGGTATAGGTAGTTGATGTGACATACCTCAGTCTCTACAGTGAAAGCAGAAGCTCTTGTGGGTGCTTCCATATGAGGATTCACAATGTTAATCAGTTGCCTCGTTAAACATTTTGATAGACGTAACATGCATTTACAAAAATTTCTGATCAGACAACTCAAAAGGGTTTTGTTTGGAAAGTATAACCACACCAACGTCATTTTGTTGTTCAACATCCAGAATATCTTCATTCATATGTTTTTTCGATCCAAAGCACAATCGAAATCCTACGAAATATGGAAATTTAAAAAAGCTAACCTTTGATCACTGATGAGACTGAGAGAGTTGTCATATTTTTATTCAATTCAATAGCAGAGGGCATATTTTTATTCAATTCAATAGCAGAGGGAGCCAATCAGAAGCGTTCCCGTTTTGGTTCTCTTAAAAATCTTGATAGATGCATTAGTAACTCCCTAGGGAGCGCTCCTCTTGTGTTATTCAGTTCAAGAATACGGTTTTCAGTTTCGGACAGTGGACACACCCACTTTCTCTCGATTGTTCTACTCCCCGATTTTCAAGAATCGCGGCCCGAATCATCCAGTGTTGAAATAAAATAAACGCAGTTATTTGACATGACAATCTCAACTGTTTTTTCCTTCATTCATTTTCCTTTTCGTGAGTTGATAGGGACATCGAAGAGACATATTACTGTCTCTTCGCTGATAGGGATTCAGATTGTTTTCAATTAAAAGCTCAGAATTGGCGAAAACTAATGTACAATGTAAAATGTATTAAAAGTGCTATATGCAGTGCTTGTTTTCAGATCCAGAAGTTCTGGCAGTTCTTCTGTTAGTTCCGTTCTAAAAAAAATCTAATCTAGGTTGAAAATTCTCGAATTTATGATGATTAGAGTCATTGATAAGAATTCTCTGTTGGTTCTCAAGCTTCCTGAATGTTTGCAATAATTGCTTGAAATTCAGGATATGGGAAAGAAGAAAATGACTAAACTATCTCAAAATTCTGTTCGAATACCACAAGGAATAGTAATTAACTCCTAGTAAACTGATAAGACCCCCAATTGAGTTTACTCTACTCAAAGAGTTAATAATCGAACGCCCCTCAGCAGCATCAGCAAAAGTATTGGCAAGGTGACGATTCCGATACGACATCTGGTGGACAAATTCGAACCAGTTTAGGACGTAATTCAATTCGAGAGGTCATGTTTGTTATTGTGTTCATTCTTAAGATTCATAATATTCCATATTTTTATGAATTCCATTCAACAAATTACGTTAATTTTCTCTTCGTGCTTCTCTTGAGTAGGTACAAGACATGAATATTAATTGCCTACTCAATTCTATATCATTTTATGAATTAGAATCAACAAATCTTCAAAAATACGTGAAATCAACTGTGTTTGGTTGCTGGTTGAACTAGTGGAAGGTTCCAATGGATAAATGTAGAACCTATAATGTATTTTAAAATTGATTTCCTGTACTTAAGGAGGAAAAATCATATGTATAACATGGGGGAAGTATATTCTATTCTTCATTTTCCTGCAATTTCACGTATTACTTTTTATAAGCCTACTTTTCGTCCTAGAATTAGTCACTCCATTTTTTTCTCCGAGTTGGATTTCCGAAAATATATTTAGCACACATGACATGAGTACAGTAGTTCAGATACCCACTTCGAGGTTTTCACCATTTCTCAATCATAAGTCTCAGCTCATTCAGCTCATAGTCAAACAACTATGCTCGTCAGCTTGAAATCATAATTCATTCAGTCAATTCAGTCAACCCTGGTATACAGTCGAAGAACAGTCTCATTTGGTGAAATATATTAAGCTTCTAGTACAAATTATATGTTCCCTACCTCGCAAAGATTATGCTGGAGTAGTAAACTCTGAAACTAGAGGACTGTTTTACTATATCTTGGTATATTTGAATCAGGAATATTCCATATGGAAATTACGTATGATACGCCAATGACCTCAATATAACCTGAAAAACAACAAATGTCAACATTCTGATAGGTATTTTGAGCCGATACCACTCGATACATCTAGAAATCTGAGAGTAGCTACTCCTTTGATTCATTTCCACTACGTGTGACCAATATTTTTAAAACAAAAATTGTTTGCCTGTATGTCACTGTGGTAAATCATTTCTTGGTAATGGAAAGGGTTCGATCTCTTCACTATATATTGTATGTCAAGTTATTCCACAATCACGAGATGTTTGGAAAGAATATATTCTCAGCCTATGTAAAATTCTTCCATATCGTTCCTGATTTTCAAAAAAAAACTAGCACCTGTATACAAAATATCTTCCCCCCCCCCTCCGTTCAATTTCATTATCACCATTAGTCATAGTAGATAAGTCATTTTTTGTTCGGAAATTAATCGGTTAGCATGATTCAACTTATAAGTCATTCATTCGGGACCAGGTGGTAAATCAAGACAGTCTAATATTAGATGTTATCAAGTACGGTCAACTTTTGTGATCAACATCGAAAAATACGCGGAAGGAATTATTCACCGTTCCAAACTGAGTGTTCCCTTGAAACTGAGTGATCGATCGTATTGATTCGTATATTGTGTTTTTGTATTCCTCATTCGATTCGATAATAATGATATCGGGATCGTGTGTTGTTCTTGTGTTTCGTGTTGTTTCATTAAAGCCTCACTTTTTTCACGCTGGTGAGTGCAGATAATTTCTCTCAATTTTTTCCTCATATTTCTCTGTATTCATTTAACTTCATTACCCTATACAGGTATGTCACGACGAGCTTACACTATCTTTAAATCTAGAATCAGTCGGGAGAAATCCATGAAACTGTGCATGCCTATAATTTGGTATACGCTCTTTACATTTTAGATAATTATGTTCGACAATGCAGCGCTGCCGCTTCTACATCCTGTATTTTATCACATTTCAAGATTCTTCCTGAAGAGCTGATTACATCGATCATATTTGGGGTTTATCGAAAATGATTACAGAGATATATGGTGTTCAAAATCGATATTTTTCAAATTTAGGATTTTTTTGTGTCGATTCTCCCGACTGATTCTCGATATAGAGAAATAAGTGTAAGTTCGTCGTGACATACCCTGTATGTTTCGTACCGTTTGTTGTATTTTCTCCAATCAAGGAATACTTTCTTCTGATTTTCGTGCTTCCTGCTCAAAACTGTATCTTTTAAGAATTAATAACCATCTTCAATAACTGTGATACAGAACGTAATCTTGATTTTGGCAAAATCTTCATCTATGATCAGGTCATAACTTTTGAACCATTGTGTATAATCGATTTATACTTGGTAGGTATATTCAACTCATTCTTCTCATCAGAACTGAATATGAATTGGATTTAGAATCCAGATCCGACTTCAGGAAAAACAAAAAAGTTATTTTTTCTGTGACCGAAAAAAAGTTTGGCATTTCACCTCTGTTGGCAGGTTATGAAATGTCACTTTTCATAAATTACTTTCTTCCCGTGAGAAAAAAGTGAGTATTTTTTTCCCTGATATATATCACATATATATACACTGTTGATGGCTCTTGTTGTGCTATAGTTCCGAAAAATGAGTCAATAATACCGTCTCCGAGGAAGAACTGCAAGTCATTTCATCTTCCATTCGACTTCGCGGTTACGTATATTACTAAAAACAACCACAAAATTCGCAATTTTTTAAAATCAAATCACAGAATTAGACTGACAGAAGTAACATCAGATATTTGATTACTTCAAAAGAATGATAAAGATGATAAAGATGCCGCTACGCGTCGGGAGACAACTTAACCTGGAGCTAAAATCTACTACTTTTTTCCCTTGTATAATAAATAACAATTATTTTCAACAGTGCGCATCCAATTTGAAAAACATTATTTTTATTGAACTCGTTATTCAAAAAATCCAATTCTATCACAAAAAAATAACGAGTCGTCAAATTTCAACTTTATTAGAGCCGAATCAGGTAAACTATCGATGGATTTCGTTCCATAGAACAATTTCTCAATAATTATTTTGGATATTTTCGAGTGCTATCATTACATTTCCACACACACACAAATTGATTAAGTAT